AAACTACCAAACTCACTGGTTTGACGGAATCCTGCTGCTGCACAATTTTAATGTGTTTTCAGATGGGGTTACAATCGAGAATGAGCTTTATGTGGCCTCTCTGGGCTCCCATATATTTTGCACTAAATTTAGTCGGGCACCATTTGCAGTCATCAGCCGACATTTGAAGAAAAAAAAAAAAAAAAAAAAAAAAACACAGCCCTGTCGCCGCACCACTTTGGGGGCAAGCTCCATACCATAAACTGGAGACTTTTTTTGGGGGGGGGGGCCTAAAGGGATGTTTTGTACAGTTAAAAAAATATGTCCTTATAACAAAACATGCCTGTAAATTGCTTGATGAGTTGTTCAGAATGCAGTTGCTCACGGCTGTCTATTGTGCACATTAACGCTAACCCTCCAAAATCCTTTAAATAATCCCCTTTAGGATTTGGAGGATTTTATAGGACTCCGGTAAAGCCCAGCAGGTGTGGTACTGTACATGGGCCTGAATTGTGAGGATTCAGCAAGTTTTATGCAAAAAAAAGCTCAAAGGAGTTAGCATTCATGTCTATAAAAAAACGGTCCTTTTAAAAAAAAATGTTGACATGGTTAAAAGCATGATTTGGTCAGTAGTTTCTGACAGGAAAAAAAATAAACAAAGATGTACAATGGTGCTGTGCATTTTCAAACAGTTTAGAGTTTGATTGTTGGAACGTTGACATTGAGATTGACATTGACTTTTTAGGAGTTTAATTTATGTCTCGATACCTTTTTTTTCCCGAGATGCCTGACTAGTTGACATTTGACAGATTCTATGCAAATTAGAGCAAATAGTCCTCACGAAAGCTCTCACAACATCCATGTATTAAAAGTGGCAGTCCACAAAAAAAATGTGGCATTTGACAAACAATAAAACCACTTAACTGATACGAATAAATTTACATCGCGGACATTTTTTTTGTCGTTTACTCCAGATGGCTCACACTTCTTGAATATTCCATATGGTAACATGATATTTGGATATTCAGGGATGATTGAATAATCACATATTCGGCACAGATTTAATGTATGGGAGCTTGGCTATGTGGGATTCAAACCCACGATTGCCTGTCTGCAAGAGCAGATGTCTCTATCACCAAACTTGCCATCCGGAACAGCAGCGATGATCTCAATCAATGGTAAGGATGTGACTTTGTGTTTAATTTTGTAAACGGTTAGCAAATATTTTAAGAACCGTTTAAACGTTTAGCCATTCACAAAGGCTGATGCGTGCTCATTATGTCTGCAGACCGGTGCGATTGACAAAATAAACCAACAATGGCAGTCATTGAAAAAGTAAACACTTTACTACGTGTGCCCCGAATGTAATCAAGTACCGAAGTGCTTCGAAGGTTGTGAAAATTACATAGGTTTGAAAACATCGTCAATTATTTATGCTATGCAGGTTTAACTCAAAGGAAGACAGCGAGAATGGTGAACGTATAGGTCCCTTTTTTATAATTCAGGTTTCGTTAAAAACGTTTTTGGAAAATTTGTAAACGGATTTAGAATTAATTTCATTTACAGGTTTAAATGTATAAACCTCACATCCTTAACCAATGGCCTTGAAATAATGCTTTTTTAACTGAAGCGATCTAAACTTCATGTAAGACTTGACACCAGGAATCAAATGAATATTGAATTTCTTTTTGTGCTTACTATTCAAAGGGTACCACGGTGTACGCGTACATGGTGACTTGGAAAGTCACTGTGTCTTAATTGTCACCTTGGCAGGTAGTGAGTTGTCTCAATGCTTGTTAGAGAAATGCATACAAGAATGAACACAATGTTTCTATTGCAACTGTAATTAGATTTGAGACCTACTAAACACCAAGTTGATGGCGACAAAAACTGCTAAGAATAGCATTATATAATGGCACATAACATTCCACCGCGGTAAGGAAATCTGACGCACAAAATATTTAATTGCATTAAGGGCTGAGGCCACTCTGGTGATACTGCGCCAACTTATTTCTAATTTAAGATTTTTTGTGTGTGTTGTATTTCCAAAAATATTTTAAACAATTACTGTGGAAATCACAAATGAATATTTGCATTATATAAATTTACAAAATTGCATTACAATCACTTGTACTCCTTCAAAAGGATTTATGCCGTTTCATCAAACCAGACAAATCTATTACTGGAGATTTTTTCTTCTCGACAGCCACCGATCTCTGCCTATGACAAGTGAAAATATTCTGTGAAATCCAAATCTGAGGTAAACATATTTTGACCGATATGGCTGAGGCACTTTTCCCGCTATCCTACACTTGTCACGCTTTTCTCAAATTCAGACAAGTGATCCGCTGTATGTGTTTGTGTTCTGAAAATTTTGAGCACTTTTAACGACGACCTCAAGTGATCCCAAGATGACCTTTGACCTCCATTTCGGAGGACTTTGTGATGAACCCCACCCAATTAGGATCACTCCATCCAAGGTACATTAAAATCCATCAAATTCTGTAGACAACGAAAAGTTGAAGCATACGTGAACAGTAACCTCTAATAACCCCTACATGACCTTTGACCTCAGTAATCCGATGAAAAATTGTCTTCCTACCCAAGGGTCACTGTATCCAAGTTTCATCAAAATCCATGAAAGCATGTAAAAGGCTATATATTTTTTTCAAAAACTTAACCTAAACTTTAAACTATACATACAGGGCTTCACGCACAATTTAGGACTAGTTAGTGTCTCCCAAAACTTTGTTTAGGCGACACAAAAAAGGGGAAAATGTAATGAATTGTCTTTCTTCCCAATAAACTGATCACAATGATAAAATAAAGAAAATTTAGAATATCGTCCGAACAAAATTCAGTGCACAAACCATGGTAAAAAGCCGAGTGACATCTGTATGAAAATTCCACATTTGTACCGTTAGGCCTATATATTAAAATATTAGGCTGAACAATTTCAGTGCAGATTTTTCATTATTAAGTCAGAGGCATGTTTGTGCACCTGTGAGAAATAGGTCAATTTGTACGGTTCAGCGCCGTGGACTAGATCTAAACAACTGCATGTTTTACATGATTCCTAAACGGGGAGTTATGTAGGATCTGATTAAGTTTGAGGTAATACCTATGCTACTACATGTACTCAATTGGGTCTTCTAGCTCCTGCATTGTGGAGCATATAAGATGGGTTTTGATCCGGCATCAACTCTCAGCCCATTCAAGACAGCTTTCAAAATACACAACTTTAATTAAATCTACGTGTATATCAATGCATTTTTTCTTCTCAAATTTGTACATTGGTATTTTTACTACTTATTCTTGTTGGTTTCACGCGTCTATTTGTAAAGCTATGAGTGTGTATCTCATAGGGGTTGATGTGGACACATTGCCAAAGCTCACTATTGTTGTTATTAATATGACTATCGTAAATGATACCATTTGGGAGACACTTTAGCGTCAAAGTTATACCTTTGGGAGACATGGGGAATTAGGGAGACGGCATTTCAATGTCTCCCTAAAGCCTCAGCCCCAATTTAGGGGCAAAATTTTACCGCCGCAAAGAAGCTAGATCAATTGCTCATGGTCCAATTAGTAAAAACACCAAAATTTGTGGGGGTAGGATAAGGTAAAATTGGGGTTAGGGGTCAAGAAAGTCAGAAAATAAAAAATCCTAAGAAAATAATTGTGCACAAGTCTATAGGAATGTCTCCCTAATGGTATATTTCTCGGTTATATTATTATTATTATTATATTTTTGTATCAACAAGTAGAATTTCAAAAGGCAACAGTTGTTAATATTAGGCTGCTGCTAACGGTAGTTAAGGTTTGAACTTGCCTAGGCAAATCAGGAAGTACAGAGATGCTGCTATAGAGAATTTACAGAAAATGTGTTTTCAAGTGTGCTGGTCTGAAACTGCAAATAAGCCATGCATGGGAAACATTTGAATTAAACATCCTGTTCAAACACATGACTGCAGACACTGTGCTATGTTTTTTTTACATTTAGCATGACTGAAAAACTGAAAGTGCATTATCTAGCAACGGCATAGAGTAACAAAGTGTGACGTCGTTTTGAACCGGGAAGTGTAGTGCAAACGAAAGGAGTACGCGTATGTGGGTTCACGGGCTGAATCACGCGCTAATGTCTTTCACACACATAATTGTGCATGTGATGTATTCACTTCGGTACTCTATTGCTTGGCTCTGCTATGTGTAAATCTAGCATTCATTTCCAAAATATCCAGGACAGTTGCACATGAACTTTTTCAACTTTCACTTTTTTGGCTGTAAAGTACAAGCATCACAACCTCAAACGTGGTATCAAATCAAAGAGGACAACAAGACCTTTCATTTCAGTGATGTGGCATTGTAATTGAATATGGTTAAATGTTTTTGTGTGTGTCAAAAAACAGGTTTTTTAGTGATAAAATTATAGATTTTAGGTAGTCATTTTAGCACCTTGTTTTTACAAGCAAAATGCAATTGTTATTGGGATTTTTGATTTTAAGGTAGAAAGAAAGGTTCATATGCTATGACAAAAGAGTTTTTCTGTTTATCAATATGTTTTAACTTGTAGCAACGATGGGCAGACAAATTGTAACATGTTACCATAATGTGAGTTACTGCAATCTATTTCTCCTCAAGAGACTTTATGATTTATTATTGTTTAATGATTGTAATGGTAGAATATGATTTATACCCTAATGATGTGAGGCACGAAAAATATTATTTTTTCATCAGTGCGCAGTATGCGGAAAACTTTCAAATGCAATGTATTTAAATGTTTGGGTAAACGTGAGTGACCGATAAAAAAAACTTATTGCCAAACCAACAGAAGTTTATTTTGTTGGCCTTTATTGTAGTTTAGTAACTTAATTTCAAGGGATCTTCAGTGAGAAAGATCCACGGTAAATGCTGTGACTTTATAGAATAGCAGCAGAGAGCTGATGAAAGATCCCATTAATACGTAATGTGAGGTACCAACGGAAGTGCCCACGTACAAGACTTGTTTTAGGAGGACTTACCCAGATTGGGCTTATTGCGTGTGCGAGTCCTGAGAGCTTCATCACCCGGTGCGGTGCTGCCAACGTGGTTCTTGAGGAGAGCCTTCAGTTTGGCATCCTCCTCCTTGTCTTGACTAAGGGTCAGATTCTGGGGGGAAAATAACCCGACAAAATGGCAAAGAGAGACAACATCAGGACTCAATTTTTCTCCATAGAGCAAACATGTGATATGTTCTGTCAAAAACAGAAAGAGTGATATTTTGAGGAGGCAAATTTTGTAATAATAAAAAATAAATCTCGGAAGAGTCTTTTTTTTTCCACACAACACATCATCATAGACTGTAAACTATATTACACATGTCCATACCCCCATCCTTTCCTTGCCATTTGTAATATTTATTTTGACTTCAATGGGTGACAGAGCAGCAATATTTTAGAGTTATTACATTGTGAAAAGAAAATTTGTGAAGGTGAGGGGTAACTTTGGTTAAAAAATGGACAAATAATACGAGACAGTGAAATTGCCATCCCCCTCCCCAGATCACCACTTATACATGTACATGTATACCCACTGAACCTCACAAAATACACAAGACAAGCCTTGTAATGTTGGTCCAAGAGCACAAAAAAATACATTCAGAATGGCTCAAGAGTTTGAAGAATCAGCTGCAGTGATAATGTGATGGAGACTTGAATTATTGCATACACATGTATGACGGTATACAAATATTGAGTGGCTCAGCGTGGAATGGGAGGAATATTATCGCTCGGTAAAATCAGGGCCCAATTTCACGGCGCTGCTTAACAGTTAGCAGAAAAGTTGTGCTTAGCATAGCAGAAAAATGTGCTAACCTTAAACACTATTTCACGGCGTGGACGTGCTAACGGTCGCGTGTGCATGGAGATTTCGATTGTTACGTCACTACGTTAAGCACATTTTTCCCCTGAGGTAAGCGTGCCTTTTGCTGTGCTTATGCTTACGGTCTCCATGAAATAGACGAAGGCTCTGTTAGCATAAAATCGTGTGCTTAGCAGCGCCGTGAAATTGGGCCCTGGACTTTTCCATTTCACGAGGTGAAGCCGAGTGAACTGGAAAAGTCCAGATTTTACCGAGGGATAATATTCCTCCCATTTCACAATTTAAAGCCACTCAATATTTGTTTTACAATGTATATAACTGACATATAGATCCTTGTCATTTGATATATTTGAACTTTTATTTCAATACGAAACTGGAGGGAAATGTATTTCTCTCTTCCAAAGCCCTTCACGAAAATGTTTGAACCCAACGCTGTAGCGCTGGCTCTTTGGAACAATACGGGCTACGCGCAACGCGCACACTAGCATGCATTTGCACACAAATACCGCGTCATGGAACAAGAATGATCCTAACTGTTTAATAGTATTTCCCATTCCCCATGGGCGGATAGTACTTTTTGAGCCGCGGCGTGAATGGGAGCAATAACGAATGTCACATGATGTGAGTTCCACCAATCAAATGACAAGGATCTGCATGTCGGTTATATAAAAGTACATGAAACATGCGGTCCCAGACTAATGCACATGTGGTGTAGATGTTACATCATGTAGAGGGGTCTCATTGACCCACGTGACTGGCCTACATCTGGATACCGGTCAGCATCGCCACTGTAATAGGCTAAGGTATTAGGCAAGCCTTCAAAGCTGTGATGGATGGCAAAAACTGTGAGAAAAACACGGAGCCAGTTTAATGTAGCCACAATTATGACAACCGTACACGGCACAGGTAGTGACCATTATGCCATTTGATATAGAATTCGCGGTTTATTCTTAGTACACCTACTGTATACTTTACAATGCACGACGTGGTTGCTAACCAAACGCTTGCCTACTGCAATGGCGGCCGCCCACAGAAAAACCAGACGATCGGGGCCCAATTTCATGGCTCTGCTAACCATAGAACTTCGCGCTTAAGATCACCATTTTGAGCTAACCGCGACAAATTCTGTGCTAACCCTGTAAGCACATACTCCTTAGTTACGGGATATACGCATGCGCATAATCAAACATTCCTGAAATACACTTACCGTAAGCACAGAATTGTCTGTGGTTAGCAGGGATTTTTCGTTAACGGTTAAGCACAGCCACGAAATTGGGCCCTGATCCTACTAACAGGCAAGCCTTGTAAAGGTGGTCCCCGACCAGTGTAAGTGATTCAGTCGGTCGGGGAGTCGGTCAGTCAGTCAGTCAGTCAGTTAGCTATTTGGGGAGTAGGGGAGTCAGTCAATCAGTCAGTGAGACAGGTGCAAAGAGAACTCTAAGCTGGTCTCTGAGACCAGCAGAACTCCTCATGTGTCCTACCTCAGTGATCATCTTCCCCCTAGTCATTGCCCGCTTGCGATGGTTGGCTTTCTTCTTCTCCTGTTCCAGCACCCGCTCCCGCGTGGTACGATACTCTAAGGCAAACTCGCTCATAATCTTACAGAACTCGGTAATCTTCAGCTCCCGGGCTGCCGAGGCAGTCATGCCCAGGAAGAGAAGTAGTTCATTAAACCTGTGGGAGAAAAATTGGCAAAAATTGACTTGAGCAGCATTCGAACCCCTGACCTGGAAATAACATCTCAGTGCTCTACCAATATCTATAGACAGTAACAAGTTTAGTGACTGCCGACATCAGCCTTGATGGTTCACATGGTAGAGAACTGTAAAAGATGGTTCACATGGTAGAGAGCGTAAAAGATGTTGTCAGGAACCGGTTCACGATCATGGCATCAGGTACCCATAACTAACTTTACAACTTACTTGGTAACTTCTCAGATGATAAAAAAGCAAGGTTTTGATTGTCATTTGTGGGGAATTTTCAAAATGAAAACCAGGCTATATGGGAGGCAAAACGTATTTCACGATTATCATGCTCGCAAAAGTTGAAGTTTACACCGTAAAGCTATAAAGCCCATCGTACACTCGCAGGCTACAACCGTGTTGTTGAGAACCATTGATATGATCTCCATATAAGGAGATGTCCAGTACACGGTGCACTGCGCACACCAAAGAAATGACCCGATCATGAAGTAAAATGGTGGAACAAATTCACTGGAAGTTTGTCAACTTTTTGTTTTGTTATTTTTTTTACCAAAAAAGGAATTTTCGAATAAAAGTTGGCTCGGGCAATTAATGGTGACCAGGCCCCTTTCCAGTTTTAAACCACCCATTTTTTGTGAGTGTATTTTTAACAGTGCAATTCCAGTCATGGTTCAACTACTGAAGAAAAAGTCTTTGTAACAATTCAATACTCCACCTCTGTAAGTTTGAGCAATAAGGTTTGTGTCTTGTCTTTTTTGTCTATACTCCCAATTTTTTTTTTTTTTTTTTTTATTCATTGCATGTTTTGTCTTTGGCAACTTTTTAAATTCTTGTGTACATGTGTAATATTTTTGAAATTGTGCAATGATTCTGTCCATGTTTAATCTATTCTTTTCTTTTTTTAACCCTAACTCCCTAGGCCTTTTTGCTAGGATGTAGCCTCAATCCTGCAAAATCCTCCAATTGGCCTCATGGAAAAATAGCATATAGGCTCAATCCTGCAAATTCCTCCGTTGTTTCTTGAATATGGTCCATGGAGGGGTGACCACTGCCTGAATCCTGCAAAATCCTCCGGCTATGACTGTCAATAGGCTGAGGCTTGGCCAGTGACATCCTGGAGCAGTGCGGAGGATTTCAAGCATAATCCAGGCCTATATTTATGCATGGCTGAACATAAACAACACAAGGTCCGGCCCAAGACCTTGCCACAGTGCATACTCCGAAATCAGCAACGCACTTTGGCCATGTTATCTCAATCCTGCAAATTCCTCCAATTTGCAAAAAGGATTTTGGAGGATTCAGGGCGGTTAGGGTTAATTAATGAAGCTTTATTTTTTGTTAACTTTTATCACTCATTGTGAATTCAATGCAATTTTGCCTTTGGCAACCAAGTTGAATTTTAATAAACCATGAATAATAATAATAATAATTTAATACTGCTCCATCACACTAATATTAGGACTTACCTATTAAGGACTCGTCTATGTACTATTTTTAGAACTATGATTCTCTGGTTACAATCCGATAGAAAATCTTGTAATCTGAAATAAAAACAAAATATTATGTTGCTTACAACTATTAAGGTCAGGAAATGCAAGTTACCAAAATTATTGAAGTCACTGGTTTAACAGAATGCAGAATTTCTTTCAAAATAAACCATACAAATTTACTTGCACTTAGAATTATGAAACAATGAACAAAATTGTAAGAATTACACACATTGTGGCCTGAAAAACATGTCACATTTCTTTCACATAGAAGGGAACACAACCTAGTCATAATACACTTTTAGGTTGTGGTACCTTCATGAATCACCCCCACAGCGTTTTTTGGCCCTATCTCAATTTCAACCTCTGCCCAGAAGCGTCTGCTTTTGACAGAACAGGTCACATATGATGTTGTTTTGCACAACGATGTTTGACATCTATTTCTCGTCTTACTTGCTCTTTAAGTGCGAATGGCTGTCGTGTTTGTTGATGATGCGTAGATGTTCCCATGATGCTTTGCACTGCTCCTCCATTTTCTGAAGGTTCGTCTCAAGCACTTCAAAGTCAACCTAATGAAATAAATAATCATCACAGGAACAAAACAGACTCATCAATTTATGTCTCTCACTTGCAAAAACTGCTCTCTCATTTTAAAACAAGTACGCTTTTCGATTTCTTTAAAACTTGATTAACTTTGGTCAGTTTGGATCCAAAATCTGCAAGAACAAGCTCGATCGGATCTCTGAAGCTGCGGGCCAACGAATTTGTGTTCACCTTATTTTGACCCATTACTGTAGGTCAGATGAAGAGGTCACCATGGACATTTTTTAATGTTTGACCAAGGCCAACATGCTGGCAGTGCTACTTTAGTCATTTTGAGCTTATTTGAAATGTGACGCTATTTTGATTTGAAATGTGACGCTATTTTGATTTGAAATGTGACGCTATTTTGAACTTGACCCCCTGATGACCTTTGACCCCAGTTTGGTCTTGTGACATGTTGGGGCTGGGCTACTGATACTTTTGACAAAAATTAGATAAAATCAGTCAAAATATGTAGGAGCAATAGACAATGTCAATGTTTGTTACTAAGGGAATAAATGTGTGCTCGAGAGGTTTTTATCACTCTGTTTAATACCGCTTAGAGTCTGGGTGCTGATAATTACCCGAGCCGGAGGCGAGGGTAATTATCAGCACCCAGACTCTAAGCGGTATTAAACAGAGTGATAAATACCGACCGAGCACATATTTATTCCCATTCATAAATACCTTATCCGTAAAAAAATATCAAATAATTCGTTCAAAAAATCCCGATTTTGTTCAACAAGTTCACTTCATGCTTTTTGAAACATCCCTCTAGCAAAATAATGGAGTGTTCAGCTGGCGATTAAGATGTAAACAACCCTTTTATGGAGATTGACGCGCGCGTAGCATGTTCTGCGCGATGTCACGCAGAACGCACCTGGGGGGTTGCGTTTTGAATTTAGAACTATAAAATTCTGACTCGCATGTAGTGTTGCGCATGCCTACGTGAGGATTGTGAACGTTCAACCAATGAAACGGTAAGAGGCACTGGATTTTTAGGAGTCCACATTTTGTTGTGACACTGGAAAAGTGTTTAAGACCAGCTAGCCATGTCTTTATCATCCGTTTAAGACCGGCCACGTGACGGGCTCTCGACCAATAGGAATAGCTAAACTGTCTGAGGTATTTATGAATATCTAACGAACTAACAAACAAACGTAAGGACTAACGGAGAGACATGATGATTTGTTGAGCTGCTACCCGCAACTAACAAGTTGAACCCTTTAGTCACTGTTCCCCCCCCCCACCCCAGCTCCCGAGGACCCTGTGGTTTTATGGATTAAACAGTGAAAAAACACAATGTAATCCACTGTACTAGGTACTGAAGTAGGCAAAGATCATATAGGGCACCACACAGTAGGTAGAAGCCAAGCCTTTAAAGCTGTGATGGACGGCAAAAACTGTAAGAGAAATGCGGAGCCAACACCCAGTGCTGGGTGGGCTCAATTATGACAACTGTACACATCACAGGTAGTGATCATTAAGTCATTTGATAAAGAATTTGCAATTAATTTACATGAAAATAAGCCCTACTCTCGACCATCTATGGTTGCTAACCAAACGCTTGCCTACTGCAATAGTGGTTGTTCACGGGCAAACCGGATGGTCACGTGGTACTTTGACATCACACGATCTGAACCTATAGAGTACCGAAGATATCCTGCGTATTCTGGTTCACGCCCATAGCTTAAGTGTGTGTGTTGACATCAACATGCTAACCAGCAATAATTCGGATCAGTGCGCGACATCGCGTAGCTGCAATCGGCTCAGTGAGAACGTGTCTCAGACGATGAATTCAGGCCCAATTCAAAACATGATTCAGCAACTTCTGATTTGAAATTAAGATCCTAGAATGCTGTTTTTCTCGGAATATACAGCTGAAGCTGAGCTGAAACTTCATCAGGTTAGTTGTTCAGTACCCTTCTTCAGATTTTGAGCACTTTTGTTGCTTCAAACGAACAAAATGCACAAATTACAAATGATGGACTATAGCTTTAAATCTTATACAAAGCTACAGATTACCCCCCCCCCCCCCCACCCCTGACAATGTCCAGACAGAAATACCTTTGCACATCTACTGATGGAGGCCAGCTCTGAGAAGAGATCGGTGCTGTCTGGGAACTGTTCAATGACCATGCCGCATAGATGGTAGAGCAGGGACTGCTTGTGAACAGTGTCCTTGATGTCGGGCACCTTGGCAAGGTAGTCTATGTGGAAGCCTTGCACCTGTATGCCCGAGGCAATGGGAATATTTAGAAGAGTTCTGAGAACTGATGGGGAGTTTCACTGTCTTAGTGAAATCCTACGTTGCGATTTTGTTTGTGAAATGGAAAGAAATCAGGCACTGAGTTATTGGTTGTTGGCTGAGCGCAGGTACGCCGTTTGGTGTGTGCAGGTTCAAATCTCCCTCCAGTCAACATCTCTGTACAACTTTTCATAAATTTGAAAAGGAATTAAGTGAAGTTGATATTTTCATGTCATTTTTGAGGTTAAGAGTTTTCTCCAATCTCTCACAAGTTATATATCTGTCTAATTTAAGATCTTTATGAGATTTTTGCATGTTATTTGTATGGGTTAGATAATCATAATAGTAGTGAACAACAACAACTATTAACAACAAAGAAATGTTATTAGTGATTTGTATTAAAAAATAATAATAATTTGATCGCAACCAACTGAAGTTTGTTTCCCCTTGTTTAACTACTTACACTGGTTATAAACAATATCTTCCACTGGTCTAAGAATGTGTAATTCTTTTAAGGTTGAACAAAGAAATTGACTGAAGCGGGGTTTGAACCTGCAACCTCCGAATTGCCGTTCCGGTGCTCTACCAACTGAGCTATCCAGCCCTATGTTGGCGGTTCCCCATTTTGTCAATGTCTTTGTTCAAGGGGCGCTAGTAAGAAGGGTTAGGGTTGAACAAAACTCCTTGAACAAAAACATTGACAAATTGGGGAACCACCAACATAGGGCCGGATAGTTCAGTTGGTAGAGCACCGGAATGGCAATCCAAATGTCGCAGGTTCAAACCCCCCTCCAGTCAATTTCTGTGTTCAACCTGAAAAGAATTATAATGCACCTAGTCAGTTTCCCTTTGTGGTTTCTTTGAAAATTTGTAGTTTTCAAATTTTCAAACAGGTGTGAAAAGCTGACTAAAGGGAATATACAACCTTTGTTTTTACTGTAATTTTCATACATGGATGGCTTTGGGGGGTTAGTATTACTGGTATATAGCCAATAATGTTACACTGACTTGTTTGAAGTTTTGAGTTCAAAGATGCTGGAAAAACCAAGAAAAACAATCATGTTCTTGTAGTCTGGTTCCCTGACCCCACTTCAGATGAAACGGAGCAATTTATAGACATCAGGGAATTGTAAGGCCAGGAAACCAGTCTAGCCTGCTTGTACCCATTCATAGGCTTGCAATCGATTGCAAACAATATGCGGACAAACTAAATATGGTGAATTTGGGCGAGTGTTTGGAAAAAAAAGCCAGTTTTTTTTCCAGCGCTGGTCAGCCGACCAGTATCGGAAATTGATACACAAATACCACATTTCTTGAAAACCAAAGCAGATGATTGTACAGGATGCTTTAGAATGCCACCCACTAACAGCCTAGTAAGGTATCAGGTAATTCATAATAATTTTGGTAGTTTTGTTTTTGATGTTTGCTAAATATTCCCTTTAATATCACACCACTGCCGGCAGTGGCCTTTTTTTTTAAGTAAAGGTTTGGGGTCAATTCGTTTCTTGTTTTTGATGTGAGAGTCCACAGTTAGATGTATTGTGGAAACATGACATGGAAAAGGACAAGGATGGGGATTCCACTTTCTGTGAACCTCCTCTGACACTGCTGTTCACCCTCTGTGTTTCTATTCCTTTGAATTACTTTTGGTTGCTGTTCTCACCTGAGCACCATTGAGAAAGTTCCCCACGGCAAGCAGCATGGACAAGATGTGGCGGAATGTTTTGTTGTTCTTGAGGTCTTCGATGCCCTTCTTGAGTTCAGCCAGGGGTTCAGCGACTTCCTGCAAATGAGGGGATTGACACAAAATTCAAAACTCCAAATTTGTGTGTGTGTGTTGAACACACGCGCGTCAATCCTGGGGGGGGGGGGGGGGGGGGACAGGGGGACATGTCGTCGTTCCCCCCTTCCACCCTCTTTTTGAAGGATGGGGGACACAACATCAAATGTCCCCCAGATTTTGAACTCGTGTGTCTCATTTACAGGGCCCTATTATGTACGTTGTATGTTTTGCTAAAAAAATATTGGTTAAAGTGGTCAGAAATTGCCTCATATCGCACCACAGAGCATCCAGAATCCAAATTTTTCGGGGCCCTTAAGCGGGCCCCGAACCCCACGCCTTTAGCTCAGAATATAATAGCTGATTCAAATACTTCAACCTCGAAAATGATGTTAAATTATTATCTTTTGCGAAAACAAATTTGGTTAAAGTGGTCAGAAATTGACTCAGATACTGGTAGCACCACCGTGACAGAGCATCTAGAATCAAAATTTTTCAGGGACTGAAAACCCAATCCATGTGTTGGCCCAGGTGGGATTCGAACCCGGGTCACCCGATTTTCCTTACCTCCTCCAGCGACTCGTAGTCCATCTTGAAGAGCCAGAGATTGAGTCGTGCCTTGAGCACGGTGATGTTGGACAGCATGTGCAGGAACTGCTCGGCCGAGCCCAGCGGGATGTCAGGATTCAACATGGTGGATTCCTTGATCAGGTTGGACTCCTCCTCTGTTGGGACCATCGTCAACAGTTTCTGCGAAAAGATCAAAAGGGAAGTTAACCAAAAACAATGACAGGTTAAACAGATAAATTTACTAGACAGGGATTTGAACCTGCAACCTCTGCATTGGTCTACCGACAGCAACTGAGACCTCTGCATTGGTCTACCAACAGCAACTGAGACCTCTGCATTAGTCTACCAACAGCAACTGAGCTATCCAGCCCATTTTGTTGGCGGCCTCACAAATTATCAGTCTTTATTCATGGGTATGAAGTCAAAACCCATAAACCCATGGGCTTCGTGTGCCAACAATAGAGGATGCTTTTTTATATCACCCCAACACAAAATTCTGAACGAAAATCAGATTTATCACTTATTTTTAGCACTCCAAATTACCAAACTTCCAACCCTTCAATGTGTACCTTTTGCGGCGTGATCAGTCAGCAAGAGATGATTCTCAACAGTGCATACAAACGTGTATAGCGTGAAGTATGTAGACTTATTTTGTTCTGAATGTGCTCAAAACCATAGTGTCTTTGCATGGCTTGTCCTTGGTAACATCTTGGTGATGCTCTATACTGGGAATCACTCGTTCAAATAACATTAGGCTTAACCCAAAAAAGAACCCAGATAACCCTGTGAAAGAGGGTTCCCTCTTATAAAATCATTTAAATTGGTGCTAATAAGGATGCTTTGCCTCTTCAGAAATATGCAGAAGACTCTTTCTACCTCAATTCCTTCCTTGTTGACCGCCGTGCCGTCCATCTTCATAATCGCCTGCTTGATGGTACTGGGATGAGGCAGGGCCGTCAGGGCAATGTTGATGTGATTAGAACGCTTGGCATCCAAGACAGATATCACATGCTTCTTGCCAGCCTCCAGGATTTTCTGCAAGTTTTGGTAATTACGGGTGTTTGAGATGGAATTGTGGAGACAAATTTGTGGAGATTAATTTGATAAATTGATTATTTTTTATTAGTGGGCAATTCCGTAAATTCGGACGTACATGTCAGACATTTTAATAAGCTTCCGTTGGTAGTGTGAATATGGTACAATACTATTATGTGACATCTAATAAACAAAAATTAATTACAGGCCAAACATCAGGCATGCAACTGGGAAATCACAAAAAAAAAGAGGAAATTCACATTTTTCCCAGACTTTGTACAGTGTTTTTCTATTTTCAATGGCACACATGGGAAGTAAAAAAAGAGGAAATCAGCTGATCCGAGGAAAAGTTGCATGCCTGAAACATATGTACTACATGTACCACCTTTACGACCTTGTAAAATCATGTGGTCAGGCGTACAAAAAGAGGTCAAATTTACGGAATTGCCCTAGTGCGAACAACGTTTTATAAATTAAACACAGATTTTCAATTAAGTCATACAGTTACTCACAGGTTGATTTAAGGTAGGACTTGAAACATGACCAACCATCTACTAAGTTGTTCAGATCAAACGATCAAGCACCACATTTGGCACAAACTGTTTTACTTTATAACAACTTTAAATTGCAAGAGTTAAAAATGGTAATGCATGTATTTCAGCATAATGATAGTAACATTTTAAATCAGTGTAGAAGCCTTATCATCAATGCAATTAGTTTTTTTTTTCTTCAGAAGTTAAATTTCTGGTGTTTTCCAATGTGACAAACATACTTGTATGTAAGTATACAAATCATAATTAGAAATGTGCATAATCATAGCAATGCATAATTGGTGAAATTGTTTCAGTTTGTTTTCAGCAAGTAAGTATAATAGATTTATGTACTCTGCTTTGCAGAGTTTGAAAAAATTGGGGCCTGGTTGCTTTTTTTGTAACTACTTTGCCTACATCAAATTGCAGAACATACAAGTTACTGGTATTTCAACTGACTTTTCTTGATCCAAAACAAAAAATTAAATTCTTCAGAAAGGCAATGGCCATAACATTCAAACACACAAATATTTATGGTTGCAGCTAAAGGCTTTCTTCCTAAACTAACCCCAACAATCCTGATATCCTCCAATTTGAAAACGTATCTTCATACACCCTAGGGGTTACGATAGAACCTAGGGGTTACGATAGAATGCCATTAACCGCCAACGTCCGACCACAAACAAACATAACCTTTTGCTCACAAATTGTACAATGTACATGTACGTCTATTTTATACAAAGCCTTGGATGTCGAAATATCACTGAAACAAATTACCGATAAACCAACCATTTTTTGTAAGTGGACCATAGAGCTATATTAAATTACTAGAGCGCTTACTCTTCATTCTTGCGCGCGGAGAAGCTTTGAAGCCGTCCTGGGCGCAGAAATATGTGCGTGTTGAAGAACACAATCAAAATAGACATGATAGATGGATTGAATTTTAAAAGTGTACTCTAAATGCAACGCGCAAGTAGAAGATACGCAAACAACTTAAGCGCGTCATGACGGTTCAAAAAATGTCACGGCGAAAAGCATATGCAGCGGAGGGACACACACATTGCGGTGTTTGCATTCAGCAAAATGAAACGCTCATTTGCTGATCGTGCGTTTCGGTTTTGGGCGTATCGGCTTCGATGACGCACCGGTATGGAATAAAAACGCAGATATGCAAATAGCATATAGCAGTACAAATACAGCCATAATAGCAATACAAAATGTTGACTTTTCCATAGGTTTGTGCACAACCATGGATGTGCCCATCAGGCATTACTTTGTACATCGAGTTAGCGCTCTATTAATTTAATATAGTTCTATGGTGTGGACCAACTGCGTTTGTTGAAGTGAAGTTCTACGGTAATATACATGTAAAAGTGTATCCACAATATGTGTTTGTCATTTTTTTTCAATAAAAGAAGCGCCAAGGATGGGCTAAAACAATTTGGGGGAAGGTATTAGGCTGCAAACGGTTCCGCAAGGGTGTTGTTTCTTTTATTTATTCTCTACTAACCTGATCCTGAGTTGATGAGGTCACCAAGATGCAGGAATGAGGAGGTTGGGAAGAAGGCAGGAGGAGTGGGATGCAAGGCATGAGGAAGATGGTGGTAGGGGAATAAAAACAAAAAGCAAGAAGATTCATTGGTTAGATCACATAGCAACAAGCATCATGCTCTCTGATCATGCTCCGCCCGGTAACAAAGAGGGGGAAAAAATCTCTGCCATCATTGCAATAAATTTGCTACCCTGTGTAGATGGAATAAAATATAATAAATCTGTTGTGTTAAAATGGTGCCAATAATACTTTTTCCGTGGTGGGATTTAAATCCTGGTTTTTTTTAACATTTGGTTTGAATTCCACTACCGGTACTCAGTTTCGACTTTGGAACTGGATATTTTCGAAACCAACCTTAAAAAAAAATAAGCTTTCCACTTTTTGTGACGCAGGCTAAATAAAACAACTGGAACATCCCTCAATTTGCTCTACAGTCTCTATTGTAACTGCTTTCGCTTGCTAGTGGTCTTCTTGGTATATGAATAGCCTTCCCATTCGAGAGTTCCCATCCATTTTTTTTCAACATTACAGTTCTGTAGCGTTTTTGTAAAGGCCCAGTGGTCACTGAGTCCTGGAAATTATACCCAATCATTAGAAGGGCATTTCATGCGGCACCTCACTCGAGAGGTTTAACTTCTGGTTTCTTCCGGTAAAATCAGATGACCGTTATTCAGTTTGAAAAATAACTAGGATAACCAGATTTTGAAATCTCCGGTTTCTCCCACCACTACTTTTTTGTCAGTACCATTCAGTGAACCAAGCATTACACAACTTTGTCAGTTTTTAATTTTTTACATTCATATTAAAAGTATGTAAGTTTCATGTAACCCAATCATCTGTGTTGAGTCTAGAGCAAAAAAAAAATGGAACGCCATTTTAAAAAACCCAATTAGCTGTATACACACACAAGCACAGGCAAAAACAAAATACGCTAGTTGCTGTGTTATTCCAGCAATTTCTCTCACACGCAGACCTGCAGGGAGAAATCAAGATTAAATCAGCATTAAGTTTCACTGAATCCAATTGTTTAATATTTTTTGGGGGTGCTATTTGATGATGCATTTAGGACACTCACTGCTGTGAGATTTAAGCAAGCTGTGTGGGAAGACAACACCATATCTTTTCAATCTCTGTGGGAACGTGCTCGAGTTGGCAAGCTGTTTGCTTCAAAACTCTTGGATTAATCCAACATGTCTAATGGGATTTTGACTCGGCTTGCACATCACAGGCAGAGGATAGGTTTCACTGATTGGGATTTTTGTGCCCTCGGAGAGGATGTACTTAAAATTAATTAACTACCATCTCAGTAGGTGTTGTAAGCAGGAAGGTGACTTTGCTTTAGATTTGATGTAACTAAATGCACACCAATAAGGGCATCTCAAACATGAGAACACTTGAAACGTTGTAACACTGTAACACTGTCCCTTAGATTTGGGAAACTTGTTCTTACAAGGAACAGTTCAAGAATGCCATCACTTTTCGGACGTTGTTGGAAGAGGCACGTTCATGCTTTGGCTTTGTCCAAAATGGGCCTGCAGAGCGGCGGCTTTGTCTGTTGTTAGCATGTTCCACAAAGATATAAATGTCGTAGACCTGGACAATAGCTCGAAAACAGCCTTTTCACGCAAGGGACTCATTCAGACAACTTTGCGTTCTTATCAGGAATATGCCCTGTCCCCAAACTCAGTATTTCTAAAAATTGCAACAGTGGGAATGTTCTACGTTTTGAGACACTACCTGAGAAGCTCCCAGAATCTGTTATTATTTTTTTTTAGAGCAGCTGCATTCTTGAAGCTCAACTACAACAGCATGTGTACTCAGCAAAATTCCTAATAGGTTCTATTAAAGCTTGACTTTCATTCTGACTACAAAACTACGCATTAATCTCAGGTAACGGTGCGACAAAACTGCTGGAAGAAGGTGGCTTGTTATGATCTTATCTAGGTACTTCAAGGATGAAATCTTTACAAGCTGTGCACAATGCCAAAGCTTTTGCGTTGAAAATTGAAACTGGTGACTGGGAGACTAACAGTGAGGTATAAGGCTCTTTGGAACAGGAAATGCAGGAGGGAATTGTTTGAAGTCTCAAGTGAACAAATTCCAGCGGAAGAATCTGGTAAAGGGAGGTATGCACTGTGGGGAATCATCTCTTGCTGACTAATCATGCCACAAAAGGCACACATTGAAGGGTTGGAAATTTGGTGATTTTGAGTGTTCAAAATAAGTGATAAATCTGTTTTTCTCTTTGAATATCAGTTTGCAGAAATGCCATGCTACAATGGTTCTCATGTGGAACAAAATTTCTCCTTGGCATTTCAAAGAGTGTGATCTTATCACCTCCTGATGAAGATTTAAGCATACGAGTCAAAATAGTCAAATGACCCTGGTTCCCTAAGGAATCTGTTGTAACTCAGTTGAGAATACTACAGCACTTGTTTTGGCAAACCGACACTGATACTATTACTTCCCCCTGCATAGTCTCATAACGTCTCTTTTCAGTTGGTAAAAGAAGATCGGAGTAACCTTAATGGTTTTCATGTCCATTAACATTTGTGGGAATTCTAAACCCCAGGCTCTTCTCATTGCACAGCTGCCATTCTTAATTGATACTTCATAATCTTTAGTTCCGCTAAGTAACCTTTGCTGAAAGTGCACTGGGGACAGCAAAGCCCAGCACTTGACCTACTGGCTGGTGCAATTCCAGACAGAATTCCATTTCTAAATGGAGAGGTCCTTCCTTACCTTCTGGAGGATTTCCTTGGCCTTGGACTCAAAGAGATGCTCCAGTTTCCTCTTGTCGATCTTAACCTCCCCTAGTCCTCCCCAAATGGTTTCCTTGGGGTCGTTCCTGCCGTACATGGACAGCCTGTCCAGTCGAGTCTCCTTCCAGAACAACCGTACCGTCTTCTTCTTCTTGGGTGGATAGGTATTGTAACCATCACTGATTGTTGTCATGGCCGTTGACAAGGGTGGAGGGGGTGGGGGAAGGGTTCCATAATGTCCCGGTGCCATGGGTGGGGCGGGTGGGGCAGGGGGAGGTGGGATAATCATCCCGCCCATTGGTGGCGGGGGAGGTGGTGGCACAACCCCTCCTCCTCCAAACGTGTTGGTCACCATGAAGACATTCTTGTCATCCTTGGTTGACAAGTCAGTGAAGTCCCAGCCGCTGATGCGAAGCTCCCGGTTATTCTGTCGCAGCAGCTCTTGCCACTGGGCTTCTTGCTGGACCTCTGGGCTAACTGCGGCTGCTTTGCCAGGCACACTGGCCCCGGGCTGTTTCAGGGGTATGTTGACGGATTTCAGGCCTTGCTTGGCAAGGTTGATGGCACCTGTCTTGTCCCCCTTAGGTCCAGTCTCTTTTTGGTCTTCCTGTGACGTGGTTGCCCCTTGAGGGGATTGCAGCTTCTCTTGCACTGATTGCACAGTCCCTTCTGTCACCCCCATGTTCCTAGGAGCTACCATCGTCAGCCCCTCATCCTCCTCCTCATCAGGCTTCTTATTCAGCTTGTCTATCCTGTTCGTGATGGATTCATGATTCTCCAGGCTGGTAGAGATCTTTCTTGAGGGACTTCCCAATGCTGGCTCATCCAGGCTGTTGCGGTTGGCGTACATCATCTCCAGTTGGTAGCGCTTGTTGTTGGTGAGTCCGGCACTCATTGGAGGCTCCTGATGCCCCTTCTGAGTATCCTCCTCTGTCTTTCCAACTACGTCGCCCCCTTCTTTGGAAGTCTCCGCCCCCTCCCTGTCAATTTTCAGACTCAGTGGCGCTTTGTCTGCCTTTGAGGCTTGTTTCTCTGGAGAGTCCACTGATGGCAGAGGTTTTTCTGACGGGGGTTCAACATGATTGCTGATTTTGGCAGGTGCCGCTGTCTTCTCAAGGACCGTATCATCCGATGTTGCGCTCCTTTCTGGACTTGATGTTCTGGAAGCCTCAGATGTGACAGCATCTATCAAATCAAATGCATTAGAAGAGGTTACAATGTTGGTTGGAAGGCCTGCTTCCAACAAAATACTGCACAAACTGAGTGTAAATTCTCATCTATTCCACTGTTAGTGTTGAATGTACAAAAAATTGTTTTCACCAACAATAATTTTTTTTTTATGAAATCATTATACCAATAAGTGAACTCTTTACCTAGACCTGAAGAGTCACCATTGGTCAACCCGGTGACCTCTTGTGTTGACCCCCGACCTTTATTCTCCTCCTCACTGAACGATGAGGTTGGCTCCAGGATGACGGGTACCGGTCTCTGGCTGGTTTCTGCCTCACGTTGTCTTTCGGCTTCCTCCCTCATTTCTTGTTCACGTTGCTCTTGCCGGAGTTTCCGCCGGGCTGCGATGCCGCTCGACAGATCTGCAAAATTTTTTTTGGGGGGGGGGGGAGGCAGAGAGGCAATTATTAATTAATTTATTTTCACTTATATTTATAGATTGTTTGCTTTAATATTCTCTTATGACATAAATTGATGCAAAGGTTTACTTTTTGTGTTGAATGCCAATTGCTGAAAAGCTTCAGGTATTAAAAAAAAAATCTGCTTGAAAAAAAAAAAAATCTTGTTTGTTTGTTTATTTGGGGTTTTTTAGCTGATCGCCAGGAATTTTCTTCTGGGTAAAGATTAATTTGGCAAAACAAATTACGAATGTTAAAGATTTTCTGTTACAAATCATCATAAAAAAAATGCTGTTTTCCTTTAGTGAAGATGTTAGTCACTTGAAGATATAAAGACAATGTCCATGAAAAGGAATGATGAGATATTTGAATCGGTTATAAAAAAAATATTGACTATGTCATGAAAAATGTTTCTGAGATGAGTTATCACAAGAGGCAGATATTGTACAGCTGTTGGTAAAGCAAAAGAAGAATCTGGAAATATTAACACAAAATTCAATCATGATAAGAAACAAAAAAACAGGATTTCTGAAGAGCGTCTGTTAAGAAAGTTAGTCTCATTTCAATCATTCATAATCAATACAATCTACGTTCAGTCCTACTAAAATCATACAATCCACAAATCAACAAGCAATTGCAGTAGATTCAACAAATGCATTTCCAGAGTATGTTATACGTCTTCTCCAAACGTCACTTGACAGCATCTCGGCTTGAGAGGATAACAGCCTATGCAGCTGTTTGAATGAATGAGCGAACTGTGTTGAAATGACTTGAAGATGTCATAGGTAGTTGATGGACTTCTTCCGCGGAGCAGGTTTGGGCAAAGGACCATTAGTCCACTAGTGGTTGATTCGTGACGTCACTTGACAGCATCTCGGCTTGAGAGGATAACAGCCTATGCAGCTGTTTGAATGAATGAGCGAACTGTGTTGAAATGACTTGAAGATGTCATAGGTAGTTGATGGACTTCTTCCGCGGAGCAAGTTTGGGCAAAGGACCATTAGTCCACTAGTGGTTGATTCGTGACGTCACTTGACAGCATCTCGGCTTGAGAGGATAACAGCCTATGCAGCTGTTTGAATGAATGAGCGAACTGTGTTGAAATGACTTGAAGATGTCATAGGTAGTTGATGGACTTCTTCCGCGGAGCAAGTTTGGGCAAAGGACCATTAGTCCACTAGTGGTTGATTCGTGACGTAACTTACGCCTGTGCACTAATTTTCTCTTTTCACACTCCGCCATTGGGCATGCAGAGCCTCGATCTGGCAACGTTACACAATAAAAATAGCCGGTTCAGTGATCTGAACCCCGACACGGGAATCACTGGACCGGCTATAGTCATTGTGTAAGGTTGCCAGCTCGAGGCTGTGCATGCCCATGGCGGAAGTGTGAAAAGAGCTAATAGCAATGTGTGAATGTCTCTGGTCCAAATGCTGGTCAAAATATCATAAAAATGTCACGTAATTCCCGGTCCTGGCTCCCTGCTTTGCATTGTGGTGTGTCCAGCTTTCGGTCACCAGTGAGGGACCTTACCCCGTGCTCCGGTTCCAAATAGTCGACTAGAGTTGTCCAACCATCCAAAGTTCGAGTGAAGTTAGTTGAACTATGGTCAACTATAGCTCGTGCCCGAACCTGCCCCTGTTTGACTGCTAAAGCTAGTTAATCATCACCTCTCGAGGGCGCTCTATTGAACAACCACGGGTAAGAGTGGCTCATGCACAACTGTCCATGCACATTAAAATTTACATTCTGAATTCTCTTTTCAGACTGAACGTGCATAATCCCATGAATGTGGCAATTGCCGATGATTGAATGGGAGAAATACAACCCAATAAGGGTGTACAATGCAGCTAAAAGTCCCATACATAAGATCCATGTAGTGTATTTTGAATGCTTGAGGGCCACGATAAGGACATACACAATTAAAGAGGATTGCGTATTAAGCCCATAACAACACCAACATCACTCCATGCTTGGATGCACTCTGGCAGACAGTTGTAATCAATTAGAAACTGCAAGTCAATCACACACAGGTCAATAACTGAACAAATCACAAGTCAGGATGTAATAGTGGATGAATTACGACAAGAGGAATGTCTCTGTCACAGTTCATTGGAATAGCCTGATACTTGTCCTGAGACGGGTTGCGTAAGGTTTGAAGCTTCGCATGTTGGAATGAAGACAAGAATGATGTTTGAGGGTGACACCATATGACTTTAAAACTATTTTAAAAAGAAGTTTTGTCAAGTGACAATTTGGGAGGTTTACCAGCTGTTCACAAAATTTGGTTAAAGGTAGAGTGGACCATTTGCAGCTATCCAAAAAGTAACCGACCAAATTATTGTTGAAAAGCCTACTTGGTTAAAGATAGTAATGACACTAAACTCCCTGTGAAATTATTCCTTCTGGCATGCTGTCATTTTGAGGAAAGCAATACGAGAATGTCATTTGCAAAGATGTCTCAAGTGACACATTTGTGGAAATTTCGATTTGTAGTTGGTTTGTAATTGGGCGAATCCGTAATTGAGTGCAAGCGTTGACTCGACCCACACGCCCGAGCGGTTCAGTGTGTAACATCACGTAGCCATAATTGGCTGAATGAGAATCATGTCCCGAATGCTGATTTCGGGATTGTGTCACAAGAGGGTGCAATTTAAAATATGACATGGCAACTTGTGAACTGAAATCGAGATCCAGAGTATTGTGTTTTCTCGAAATATACAGCTATTATTCGTCAGTTCAGTGTGTAACATCACGTAGCCATAATTGGCTGAATGAGAATCATGTCCCAAATGCTGATTTTGGGAGTGTCACGAGAGGGCGCAATTCAAAATATGAAATGACAACTTTTGAACTGAAATCGAGATCCAGACTATTTAGTTTTCTTGACATATACAGCATTCACCGAGCCAAAACTTCAATGGGTTCGTTAATTGTTAAGCATCTGTCTTTAGATTTTGAGCACTTTTGTTGCTTCGAACGAAAAAAATGCACAAATGACAAATGGTCCATACTACCTTTAAGTTCGAACAGTCTCTGTAACTTTTACTTAAAAAAAAGGCCAATGAGAACACCGCTTTAGCCAAATTTCGCTTGGCACATAAATTTAATCCGCTTAAAAGTTCTATGTAATTGGGCTCTGGGTGACTTTTGACGAGTTGGGAATGACTTGTGATGACTGGATTACAACCCTCTGCGTTCTGGTCACACCATGCATGGTACTCACAATCAGGAGGTAAGAGTGCTTTGACTTCTTCCTCATCAGCTTTGGGTTCCTGGTCTGAGAGGGGAAAGATTTAGCACCGAGATAGAATAATATCAGCTGACAGAACTTGAAACTACTTACGAAGTTTGCTTCTTACTTGCAGCACATGCGCATGGCAAAAGGCAACAAATGCAACTTGTATGGTATTTTTGGGTGCAATCGGTGGATCTGTGTCATCGCCCGATTGTGCTGCGCCATTTATCAATTGCGCTACGTCATTGGTAAATCAAGCTACATTATCAGTCGATCGCCCCGCCAATGATTGACTGTGCTGCCATCGGTCAATCACCTTTATTCTTTCCGATTCGCGGTTCTGGAGAATTGTTTTTAAAGACGCAAGTACAGTCTCAGATTTCCCACAGGATCGACCGATCCCGCAAACGCATTTCTGCAAGATTGCACATGAGCACAAATCCACCAAGTGGGCCCAACAGCATAATTATCACTGGTTGTGAACTGTAAGACTGTGTTGTCGTCAAGCCCTGTCACAAATCCTGTCAAAAGTCAATCACAAGTCCATTCACAAGTCCCGTCACAAGTAACAGGGAATGAACAATGACAAAGGTACATGTAAGCCTTTGTGACAGTTCATTTGAATAGCTTGTGACTTGACTCAGGACTGGAGGACTTGTGATGGACTTGTGAAGACATGTGTTGGACTCGCAAGTCATGCAATGGACAATACTGCCATTAGATGACTGCATAGGTCACCAAAATCAACCAAATAACGATCCATCATGCGTAGTGCTTCAGCAAACATAAATATGAGTGTACAAGCAATGGACCCAAATGGAAATCATGTATTATCCTTAATTGTTTACAACTTATAAAACTTCCCATCAACATGTAAAACACAAACAGTTCCGTGCAAAGTCATCCTACAAGATGTAGACTGAACTATGTTTCTGCATCACATGCAGTTAAGATAAAAATAAGGGAATAAATGTGTGCTTGGGAGGTGTTAAACACTATGTTTAAGACTGGTTGGAGTCTGGAATGCTGATAATTACTTCACCTCGGGTAATTATCAGCATTCCAGACTCCAACCAGTCTTAAGCATAGTGTTTAATACCAACCAAACACATATTTATTCCCATTCATAAATACCTTTTTGGTTAAAAAGCCATAAAAAGTTGCAAAGTTGACAACTTCTGACAAGTTTTGTTTTACCATTTTACTCTGTGTCTGGGACTTTTTTATGATGTGCGAAGACAAGATAAGTTTGCGGTAGCACCATGTGAATAAATCTCTTTTGTGAGTATGTGTGGTTCTGAAAAGAACTGGAGGGACTCAACGTTTCGAACAGTATGCTCTGCCCGTCGTCAGGATGATGTGCGACACCTCTCATTATAAGGAGATCACATCAGTAGCTCCCAAGCCGGCGGAGCACGTGGTGCTTACACGCACGACCAGTTTTAAACTTCGCTGTTTCAACACTGACCAGTGTTCTACCGGCAGTTTAAAACCAACCACGTGACAGGCTCACAGCCAATAGGAATGGTTAAACCGTCTCAGGTATTTATGAATAATAAATAAATAATATACTGAACACTTATAAGGCACTTGTATCTAAGATTCCGCTAACGGGCATTATCTTCTCAAGAAAATAGGGCATATTTAGCTTGCATAGCATGCTAATGTTTCTTGGCAAAATTGTGATTCTTGCATCTTGATTGGTAACATAAATACCAACAGAAAGTTAATTGCGAGCTTTTGCTTTTTGTTTGTTTTAATAATCATCCACAATTCTAATTTTTCTGCGTTTGAATTATTACCTTCATTTTGTACTCTGTGCTGCTGTTTTCTATTGGGAAGTTTCACTGTGAATGCTAAGAAATAGTACACTGCTGTTTGTAAGGGATGCGAGTAAGTGCTAAGTTCTGACATAACTGGTACTAACTTCTAATATTTTGGGTACTAAATGCACTAAAAAGCCATTTGTGCTTATTAAAATGCAGTTTTAAAACAGGTAACACTACAATTATCAGTGAGCTAAAAATATAGCAGTTTGCCCTGTCTGAGTTCGGAGTTTTTAACAAAGCGTTCCAAGTTTCCTAAAATGATTTTTTAGTCAATTCTGGAATAAAACGAAAAGAGGTTACAAACCTTAAAAGTAGAAAATATTGTTTTTCTTATTTCACTTTTTTTCAATTCAACTCTTCAATTTAGACTTTGTCAAATATATTTCTGGGTTATTATGGAAATTAAAAACCTTGTCTCTATTTGGTCAACAAATTAGAAACCTAACGATGTCAAAGGGATGAATTTCAAAGAACCACCACCACATTTACATGTACACAAATTAAAACATTAAGTACAACAGTTGAGAGAAAAAAGAATCTCACAGTTATTCAAGGGTATGTATAGGTGATAGTATAAGCCAGTTCGGTGTTTCAACTGCGCATGCCCACAATGATATGGGTCACAGGTCATTCGGGATAATGGAATGCCCATCGAAGGCACATGAACGTGCAAGAAGACATAATCACACGAGCAGAATGGGCCTTTGCGTAACATTACAAGACACTTCCATTTTATCCCGAATGACCTTTGATCTGGACTACGTCATCGAGATACCGAACTGGCTTATTATGGCTGCATCCTAAACTTGCCGCCATGCCAAAAAAAGGATAGATTTTGGGCCACTCGATAGCAACACTGAGTGAATGTATGTGAAATGGGCAAACACAACCGTTTCATGACATACGTCACTTAACAACAATCTGAGTGGTTACTTTAGAGACCGTCACAAGCAGTTACATGTACCCCAACGTTTTACACAGAGAGTATACAATCAACTATCTTGTTCAAATATTCAATACAAACACTCCATGTAGAGGTTTTGTAGAAAGGTTAGTGAGAAAGTTTATGGGTTTTCTGAACAGAAAAGATTCTGATCCATGTATTAATTCAAACAAAAAGAAATTTCTCATTTCGTTAAATGTTCTCTGATTAATCCGAGTTCCTTTTGTCTTTACCAGAAAATGGTAATGTTGCTGAAAGCATAAATATATCTGTGTGGAGGGGAACAAAATAACCATTGTTAAATGTTAAGTCTTGAGAGATGTTAACGATGTAACGTTTTTTAAGTCGAGTCTCCATGCTCTTTGTTAACAGTGTTTTAGTTCAGGTTCATCATGCTGGGTCTGACTTACTCTCCGTGTCGGCTTTTGATGACAAGCGACGGCGTCGCCTCCTGTGGCAACTGACTTCTGGAGGAAAGAGTGATGTTACGGAGGGGTTTGTGTTTCTTACGGCAAAAAATGACTGGGTAGTCGACTCGAAATGAATTGAGAATTTCTTGGACCTGCCTCACAAGACACTATTAGAGAGTGCTACCTCGAAACGTTTGGAGTATCCCAAGGTACATGTACATGCATGAAGTGCCATCATGTTATGGGCAATTCCACGATTACTCACGTTACATTTTCGTAACGTGAGTAACCGATATTGTGCGTCTTGTTTATCATACGTAACACATTTTTCTGGATGTCATCTTTGGTGCTTAGGTAGGTCTAGGTCTACTCTATCTACCATGGGGATAACAGTTATTAAACCTTTTCAGTAAGGTAATTACAGCCCAAGGAAACTCAAAAGTACATCAGAAATGGAACGTGAGTAACCGTGGAATTTACAGTTTTCCTTTTTGACATATGAATATAAATCTTTCCCAAGGTAGATGACTGCACAGTTACACATTAATTAATTTATTGATTTATTTTGTCACTCTTAAATTTATGTGTAAATTCTATTGAGGCACTAAAAAGAGTCATGTTTGTTCAATTTCAAATAATTAGAACTGAGTTTATGCATGCTGTTAAAATTATGTGGCAAAATATAATTTCAAACTTCCAAGACAGGTATCTTTGCTCACACTGTTTAAAGCATATTCGTTTTTTACTCAATGTTTCACTATAAGGCATCAGTACACTCTGGTTTCAAGTGGAACGTGTAACCCAAGTTTTTTTCCCTAGTAAGTACTTCTTCTTCTTCCTTACAAGTGCAGACTTCATGGCTGAAGATAATCGCACTGCCAGAAACATCGGGGCGAACCCCTTCTCTTAGCGATAAGTGTACTTTAACGTGCTTTAACGTGCATTATACATTATACAACACACAGGACCTACAGCTTTACGTCCCATCCGAAGGACGAAGCAATAATGGTTAAGTGCCTTGCTTAAAGGGCACAAGTGTCCGGGCCCGGGCTCGAACCCACGCCACTGTTGCTTCTGAAACACCGGAGCATGAGTCCGGTGTTCTTAACCGCTAGGCCATGACACTCCATTGTCCGTTGATTAAGAGAGTCACAATCTCCAACAAAGTAATTTTAGGTACCCCTATAGTTCACAATTTACAAGTCATACTTATAAGCTACCTGCACGAGAAATGCAATCACTGAACAAGCCTGAGGAAGTGAACAGAACCTTGATGTGTGATACTGCAGCTCTCGTAGTAAAAAGAACTAATTCTGAAAACCATGAACTGTGAAGGAAAATGAGTGGATGTAATGACTTACCTCCATTCTCCAGGGCCGGTGGTGAGGTCACCTCCGCTGGTTTACTGGCTGTAACTGTAGTTGAAACTATTGTAGTGAGGAAAAAAAGAAAATTTTGTCAACTTATGACAGAAAAGAGCACTGGCTGCAACCTCTCAATGCAATACATAACTTAAAGAAACTTCAGATTAGAGCTAGACCCATCAATATCGTGACCAAGGGCCTACTTCATTGATTTGTTAAGCACACAAATTTGAAAAGCACAGAATATATTCACCTAGCACGAACAGGTTCACAAAACACAGTTTCACTTAATATACTTCATACATATTCATGATCGAGAGCCGAGATCTCATTGGTCCATTCACCATCATATGTCAGCTGCTAGTTTTGCTCTTTACCAAGGGTGCACACAAGGTTTCACGCACAGGTTAAATACGCATGTGTAGTTGACTATCACACAGGTTACCACTGGGCTAGTCTACTAGGCATGTGCTTTACGAAGCAATTGTGGAACTAGTACACGGGGATAGTGCTTGCAGCAGTTGAAAAGATGAGGCACAACATTTTGCCGCGAAAACTTATGCGTAACTTCATGAAATTTTTGTGAATATGTATGAGGTATAGTAAAACAAATAAAACATGGTTTAGTTCGGGTGGACAGTCAATATTACCTCACCTCGGTATTGGAAGTTGACAGACTATATTCCCTCAGCTTCGCCTTGGGATCTAGTCCGCCAACTTCCAATAGTTCGGGAAGCTAATATCGACTATCAACCCTCAAACCATGTTTTATTTTTTTATACTGAGAAACTCCATGATATCGGGCCCATCTCTGCAGTGTCGTATGGATGTTCAAATACAAGTACATTTGCCACTCGCTATCACATGGTCAATTCCATACAAAAAATCAAGGTCTAAGTAAAACACTTGATTTTATGTGCAATCTGAATCTATTTGGAAATATGCATATTGTAAAAAAAAATGTGTCTTTTTAAGAGTAAGGAGGGTATATTGTTTTAATCCTGTGGTTTTGGAAGAGTCGTCCTTGGAATCACCTATTACCTGTTTCTTCCGGTTTGTCATCTTTATTTCTTCTCCGATGGGACACATCTGCAGTAATAACAAGAAAAGGTACAATGAAACAGTTCAGGCATTTCTAATTTCCATTATCTTTTGGGTGTTGTGTAAGCAAAAAATTCCTTTCATCTGTCCCACCTTTTAGTTCAGGGTTCTATACTGTGCACAATGACATTAGGTTTTTTTTAATGTCTCAGACGTATCATTTGTTGAAAATAAGTCAAGTACACATTTCAAGTACAGGAGAATTATGTGTTTGGAAAAAAGTTGTCTGTTAAATCATCATTCTGTGTGGTTAATTTTAGCAGCAATGTGCATCTCACATCAAAATGTTGAGATGTACATATGTGGGCCTGTTGAAAATATCACACAAAATGGTAATGTAATTGGCAATTTTTTTCAGAGCACCATACACATTCCGTACATGCATGGTCCCTATTATTGAATCATTACAATGCACAAAGAGCATGACATCCAATCCTTTTTCCACTAGTGCAAATGACCACCATTTGGTATTATCTAATATTTTTCTGGTGGCACAATGGCATCTCAAGATCTCTCTAACTATTCCAGTGGTATGTTGTCAATGAAATACTACATCAACTACATGGAAAAAGAGAAGGTTAAAGTTAGAAGTTCTGGAAAATGTAGTATTCACTTACATTCTGTGGTGGTCAGTGGTGTGCTAGAATCTGCAGGTTTGAAGTTCCTTGGTAAGGTTGCTGTTAGCTCTGTTAATGAATGTATCGGGTACAATAGAAATTATGATTCAGAGCACACAATGGTGTTTGTGACACAATGCATTTCAAAGAGCATTCATCCATGTCAATCTTACCTCTGCTCACACTGGCAAATAATACGAACCAACTTTTCATTTAGTATACACTCAGACTTTTCTGTTAGTAATTGTTATTATGAACTCTGTGCCAAGCATCTCCCTAAATGGTGAAAGAGAAATTGTGACATTTTAAACAGGACGTTTCTAAGTCGCATCGAACCAAATTCTGCAGTAGATTTCAATTATGAATGTGAAAGCTTGCTATTTGAAACAGAAATGCGTAAGTCACAAGATGGGCAGTTGCAGTCATTCGGAATGACCCCAGAGTCTAGTCTATGGAAGATTACTACATCAAGTTCACCTGTCTGAAAGTGAAATCTATTTGGGTCGACCCGAGTTGCTCCAATTACTTTTTGGTTCAGGGAGACTCCGGAACACAAGACAGATTCTAATGTCAAACTCTTAAAATGCCAAGGCTAACATATGCCTGATACTCGAGAGAAGACACTACTGGATTCTGCTCACTTAGAAGAAAATTAGTAGTGCAGGTGGAGTGTGCTGCCCACTTGAGCTCTCGTGAGTGGGCGGTGGGCGCTAGGCATCATCTATTTTTCAATTACGGAGTCCATAATGCCAGCACATGGTAGTTTAAACTCACCATATAAGATGACACGAGTAATGTGGTTAGGTGATATTAAACATATGCACATACAGATTGTGAATACGGTATGAACATATGGGAAGATGATCCTGTAACTATGGTGAAATTTTGGAGACAACAGTGATGTGATCTGATGTGTGGTGATCATTTGACAAGCTGCTTATAATTGCAATTTTCTTCTGGAGATCACAGCTACAGTGCACATTGCGTAAGATTATGTCCGTCTTCAAGAAAATCTCATTACTTCAAGAATATTTGCTTACTTCAATTTCCCAAATTGAAATTCTCACACATGCTCTACATGTACGTATGAGAAGTACAGAGAAAGAAACGTGAGGAATATGTCATCGCTCACAGGAGCCTTGTATTCTCACCGTTAGTCATCTGTGTGCAAGGCCAGGTTCTATGTCTGCCTTAAGGCGATCCATACCCCACATAAATGTGAATGCAAATCGATTATGATGTCATCAAAAGCATGAAGCATCAAACATACATGTAAGCAAGGAAATTTGCCGTAGTTGAAATGTGTTCAATGTCATAACTTTGTGCTTGTGCTTCCATGCTGAACATGCACCACCCTTTTAATGAAGTACACTGAAGGAACTTCATTTTATTACAGCATGAATGTTTTTTTGCCGGTAATGTTGATGATTTTTTAGAGGTCTGTGCTTAAGAATTCTGACAGACTTCTATACCACAGATTCCTCCTCAAAAAAGTTTGATGTTAAATTTTGCTTGCTCAGTCTGTGATTATCAACATATCTTTCCCTTTTTAGTCCAAGATTTTCATGTTCTTTATGAGCATGATACATATACTGCGTTTGCGGATTTATTAGTTTTCCCATGGAACATCAGATTTCTAATGACAGCATGTAACCATGATCTGGTGCCACTGTTATCTTGGTACATGTAGCAATTAGCATCGAAAACATCATGAAAACATTCAGACATATGAATGAATGAAGGCCAAGGGATATTGCTGATAGGGGCAAGATGGGTTATCATTATTGCACGAGGATAGAAAAGATCATCTTGAGTGGAGTAAGGGTTACAGTGTGGTGTCAGAAGTGGGATGACTTAACAATATACAATTGTTCATACAGTGTATGGCAGTTCAGTGGTGACCAATCTGCATAGGGACTGTTAAATGCGGAAGATAATCATATGAGCAGGGCTATGCAGAAAGATATTTTATGATAACTGGGGCAACACAGAAGTCAGTTATTGGTGGCAGAAGTGGGATGGATAAACTCTTAGGGATCTCCAGGATACAGTTACAATATGGTAGAAAATGGTAACTTGGAGATGACATGAGGATATTCATGTATGCATTACAGACCAGAATGGGGATAAAAGTCATTGGGCACACTCAAAGTTAATATCCAGTTTCAAGATAATATGCAGACATGTGTGCATTAAGGTTATTATGGAGAACAAGATCACACAAGTAAGATGCAGCTGGATGGCTCTAGGCTTGAGCTAGGTGAACATAGCACATAGAATTTGGCAATTCAGTGATGACCAATGCACAAGATATGCATGTAAGGACCATTGATAGTTATACACAAAGAGATAGTCACATGAACTGGAGAAGCACTGAAGAAGTTATTGGTGGCAGAAGTGGCATAGAAGATACAGTTACAAGAGCGTTGAGGATGTTGACTTGAAGATGACATGACAGCACTGACTGGAATGGAGGTAAAGGTAATTGGGAGCACTCGAATGTTAACACCCGGTTTCAATACAATCAGCTGACATGTGCTGCATTTACATGTAGGTTATCAACAAGATTGCACAAGCAGGATGCAGCATGATGCCTCAGGTGGTTGAGTTCCATGACCTGGAAATAAGTGATGATGGTCAGTTGGTTAAGGCAGACGCTGCATATTTAACACATCCACACAAAATCTGTCATTCCATTGTCACGGCAATCATTAGATTACACAGCGGGATGCAATGAGATGATTCAAGGGTTGAGTTAATCTATGAGCAGGGAAAAGGTGATGGTGGTCAGTTGGTTAAGACAGCAGATGAATAACACATCCACACAAAATCTGCCATTCCACTGCAACAGCAATATTAGTAGGGAACTCGGTGGGATCTCAAAAAGGGTTGGTGAGTCCTGGGAAGAGGTTGATACAATCCAGGTATGGGGTTAGGAGTTGAGGGTGGTCCAATGCAGTGGCGTGGAAGGGCAGTGGGTCTTACTTTCGGCAGCCTCGGCCTCTGCTGCCCGCTGGGCTTCTCTCTCTCTCCTCCTACGCCTCCTCTCTGTGACGTAATCCGCTTTAGGGAGATGAAGAAATGATGGCAATTGCTTCAATGGTGTCAAGCTTGGACTGAATACTGACCAACACTGAATTGCGCTGGCATGAATGTCCATGGTCTCATCATATAATGAATGATACCCAATAGTCCCTGCACTGGCCCAAGCCGCCTGGCCTGTTACTCACTGTCCCGTCCAATGACTTCCCCCTGCACTGCACATTTTTATGGATTCCTCAGCGAATGAATACAATGTTGTACAATGTAGTGCAGGTGCTAATGTGTTGAACAGCTCATGGGAACAATGAAGAGCTGGTTACAATAATATTGGAAACTTGTTGGTAACCTAAATGTCGTCTAAAATACCATCAAAACACACCGAAATACAAATGTATAAAGTTCCTGTTTTTCACACGTGTTCTAACAACGTCCTTCTTACAACACGAATTGGTCAGCCACATCGGCAAGGTAATGTGACCAACTTGGTGATTGCATGGTTAAAACTTGCAGGCGATAACACATGCGAGTCTCAATCCATTCAAGCTTTGACAATTTTTCTCGCAAGTCTGTGGACAGTATACAATGTTTACAAAATCACACGGGCAGACCATAATATTAAAATTCTAGCAAAAGGTAGCATCGCCCTGATGCAAAATGACGTCATCTGTTACAGAAACATTACTCTGGAAAAACGTCAAAACTGATTAGGTTTAGAATTGTAAGTTAGGAGTAAAACTAAGCTGACCCCCACTTACTCTCAGCAGGAGTGGTTGTGTTAGTGGGAGGTGTGACTGAGGAAGGAGTTTCTGAGGATGTCTCTCTTCCGTGATGCTTTCTTGCAGGGGTGTCGTCACCTTCCGCGGACCGCGCTCGCGTCCTGGCGTCTTCTTCAGAATGTCTGACCCTACTTGGCGTGGTGTCTATGCTTGGTTGCGTTCTGGTGGGCATGGTTGAGGTATCGATGGGTCTCGTTCTGGACGGCAGCATGTCATGGCCTTCTGTCGCAAATGGTGATGAGGGGGTAGTTGATGTGTATGGGAGGGGATATAGGGGTCGAGGTAATGTGGACAGGAAGGGTAGGTGGTAGAGGTGTAAGTGGAAGGATTATTGAGAGAGAAATTGGTAAATAGTTAGTTCAATGATAGTTAGAAATAGTTTGCTTTTGTTTTCTGCCAGGACTGGGGTGCAATTTTAGGAAAATGTTGTTGGAACAGACACTTCTTGACTAGACAAGTTCCATTGCTTGATAAACGGACTGTGGTGATGCTTTCTCTTATGATGTCAGGAAAAAAATGAAATGAGAATGAAATGAGGCCTAAAACAATTTTTTAAAGGCCTGCAAACAACGACATTGACAAAATGGGAAACCACCAACATAGGACTAGTTAGCTCAGTTGGTATAGAGCGCCGGAACGGCAATCTGGAGGTCGCAGGTTCAAACACCGCTCCAGTCAATTTGGTTTGTTCAACTCTAAAAATTAAAAGCTTCACTAACAAGTTCAGAAATTTGTGTTGATCTTCAAATGTTGTCCAAATGGTGAGCTCAAAATGCTTTTTAGATGTTGGGAGGGGGTAGGGCCAACTTTTTTTAAGGGGGAGGGAGCATCCAGCCCTTACCATCAGACTTGGCTTCTGCTGTCTCTTTCTTGAAAGGTTTCTTATCTTTTTCATCTTTTGAGAGATGAGAGAGATTTGGTTTTGAAAACCAAATAATTCACTAACCGACCATCCCCAAAACAAGCATGCTTCATGACATGCACAATCTAACTCCACTCAGGGTGAAGAGAACCCTGTTATGGTTTTACTGATTCATGGAGTAGTAAATACAATGTGATACAATTTAATACACAGTTAGGAAACATGTGGCATCTTAGTTATCAGACTGCCACCATGTCCATGCAGCAACATGTTAAAAACAACAAAGTGTCACACAACCTGAAATGAACAAGTTTAGGTTTGACAGATGCTGTGCAGGGTCAATGGTTAAGTACATGTTATTTCTTTTACTGTTGGGGTGTTGGAGAATGGTGCTGAAAATTGAACCTCTTCTTGCAAGAGTGCCTAATGGATTTGCACCCATGAGAGAGCGCTATCTGATGTAACATGGTTTGAGGGTGAATAGTCAAATTTAGCTCCCCGAGGCAAAGCCGAGGGGACTACTTTGTCGACTTCAGGGGAGCTAATATCGCCCATCCACCCGAAAGAAAGCATGTTTGTTTGACTATACCTCACATACATTCACCAAGATTTTGTCAAGTTATAACGCATCAGTTATCTCGATAAAACGTTGCTGTATGCGTGCCGCCACCTTTTTATGTAGCTAGGGCGATGTTCAAACGTACCCTGTGCGATAGTTCCACGATTACTTAATAAAGCTCATGCGCAGTAGACTATACAATAGTCAACGTCACATGTTTATAAATTTACCCCGTGAGTGTATCCATACATGCATGCGCAGTTGGTAATAACAAAAGTAGCAGCTGACACGTGATGGTGAATGGACAATTAAGAATTCAGCTCTCGCTCATGAATATGTATGAGGTATAATAATATGCAATGTTCACTGATCAGCTTATCTGAATTGGATCCCTATGTGCATATGATATTACACTAGGAAATGTTCAATGTCCATTTTCTACTTGATGGTCATAGTAGGTACATTACTTTAACACATATGTGCAGGACAACTTAGTCATGATTTCTACATTGTTCATTACCTAAGGTGATAGTTGACCATCTGAGGATATAAGGTGACCCTAATCCTCACGTTGCTATTTACAACAAAGGCGTGAACTGCCGTATGATAAATGATATTACCATGCATTAAGGACAAGAAGCTACCCAAAGGGTGCATAGAAATATGTCAAGATCAAAATGGCATACATGGTTGTGTTGAAATGTTCATGTAACACACAGCAACCATCATCGATTTCACTAGCCATTGGAAGAGCATTAAAGTTTGGACAACTAGCTTTCCCTTCTATTAATGTTTTCATGGGTAAGGAAGATATCCCTTTTTCATTGAAGACTAGGTACTTTATGGACTACCGTATGTGCACAAGTACCCCCTCCACAATTACAATGGAAAAGTTGGGAGGGACATTCCAGGGCACTGCTGATGGCGCCTGATGCTCACACGAAGACGCAACTGGTTTGGGCACACTTAGTATAAAATTAGCTGTACATGTACATTCTTCGCTCCATACGAACATGAAGCGGTGTTCTCACGCAATGTTCCCCAAATGCCATGTATTGTTTGTGCACAGAGAAAATAAACTGCTAGAAGCCTCTGTGCAATACACCCCAGGAGCATCACGTCTTGACATTTCCAATGGCTACTGAAATCCGGTCTTCCAATCATGTACTTTTGAAAATGAAATACCAATCCCCATAACCAGAAAGTGCTGTGGAGAGATGATACCTAAAGAACAGTGCATGAAACTCTATAAACTCAGGAATATTCTCAAGGCCTAAATTACATTTTTGTTTTTTATTATTTTCAGAGAAAAACTGGGAGAAAAAATTGAACACTATAGAAGCCAGGTTGTGGCTAGTCCGATACCATACATTGATGCGTGCAGTGTCTATGCTTGAACCAGATGCCAAATTAAAATACGAGTCTGGTATCAAGACTTGAAATTAAGTGCATTCCATGCATTTTGTCAGCATGTTGCATAAATGCTACAACGGTCTTTGGTACAGGCTACCAAAACAGGGCAGCTGATTGGCTCTTCAAATTTGAGCACAGCCAATTGTTTTTCAGAAGCACAGCCCAAGAATACTCCCTTTTGTGCAGAACAGCAAGAAACTTGGCCAAAAACAAGTGGCAACATGAAACTGGTAACCAACCAAATGCAATGCCTTACCGCTGAGAACTGTACCGTATTTGGAGTTATACCGGTCAATCCAGCGAGCAGAGAGAGGGGTGTCACCTAATTAGTAGCAAATGTTCCAAGGATATTGCAATGGGTTAAGATGCTGCACAGGCAGATATCTGGGTCCAGAACTGGATTTTGGAATGCTAGCTTTCCCACAATGCAGCCAGTCCTCCTCAGACAAGTGCAGCCAAGAGAGAGTTCGATCAAGGACCAGTGGTTAACTAGTGGCTAGTTCGTGACGTACCTAGTGCATGCGCACTGAAGTTGAAGCGCGAACGACTCTTAGTCAAATTAATGTCATGTCAACGACCGTTAGAAAATGGCGGTTATTTAACACTTTTTGTTACTGTTCATTTTCACAAATATTAGTGATTGTGTAGTTTAGGACATCTTTCATAACTGCCATCATTATTGTACAATGGTGACAAAAATGACAGAATCGTAAACTAACATGGAAAAACTATGCAATGAAAATGAAATGTAGCGCGCTCAGTTTTGTTATTCCGCCATTTTTGTTGACAGTTGGTCCCCTCTGCACTATGCTATGGAAATTGCTATTGGTAACCAGCTATAAATCGTTGCGCGACCAGCCGCAGTAGGCTGGTCCAGCCGCAGTAGGCTGGTCCTGAATAGTCGACTAGACTAATCCAACCATCGTCGACTAGTGTGCGTTCGATCAGAGTTAGTCGAACCATGGTCAACTTTGGTCCTTGATCGAACTTGCCCCAAACTGCCACACTGGTAGATGGCGCTATCACGATTTAGTGGCGGTTCGGTTGCACTTGCCGCCAAGGACTGGTTGGTTAGGGGAACATAATCCAGTCTTGGGCCAAGACTACACAAGCAGTTAAGAGCATACATGTATGCTTGCAACAGTTTCTATTTGTTCCTATGGAACTGCAAAACCAGACTAATTATGGCCACAAGGGGTTTTTCATCTACACTAAATGTACAGTATATTACTGCTATGTTACTCAATGTTCAACTTGAGGAGAATGGCATCTGAAAGCCTTGCATTATTGAAAATGTCAGAAAGAGTGTGGGAAAGAATCAAATGTAAATGTACATTAATGGGGCTGGCAAATTCTTTTTTTTCTAAGAGAATGAAAATGGTATCCACAAGGAAACTAAATATCCACAGGTCTGCAAAAAAGGACATTTTCTTTTAGTTTTCAGAATATGCAAGAAAAAAACCACCTCTTTCATATCCAGTGAAACAGTTGGGAACAAACTGGGGGAAATATTTTAGCAAATAAACTTCCTTTTTAAAATGTCCCCTTGACAAGCCAAAAGCAACTGACATTTTAGGCAATCCATTTTGCTCATCAGAGGTTTAAGTGTTCACGTCAGCCCCCACATGGCCATAATGTACAGGTTTTCATTTTAATAAAAACTTTAACTTAAAAGAATTGGCCACATTTGACAGGTTAAACTTTGCCAAGTGGCCACGGTAGCAGGTTTCGCTACACATGCATACATATCAAATCATTCCAATATGCAACCTAATTGAGCAAAATCGGCTTACTAGCGTTAAAAGACCTGAAACAAAATAATCATGACACTCTTCATGTAAAGAACACAGCAAAACTAACAGTTATTTCTCCAGTGAGCATTTTTCAAATCTGGCAGGTCCAGCACTGGGCAGTAACACAATGGCACATTAGTCAGGATTTGTTAAGTAACCTTGAAGTTAAGTTCACATTTAAGTCAAAACCATTGATTCAACGGTAAAGACTTCATCTCAAACTCATTTAAAACCAGACGCTGTATTGTGGCAGAATTTGGTGGATTGGGTTTAGGGTAAAATAGAGTTTTGTTTGTCAGACACAGCAAACTATAAAACTTTGCAGAAAGGTAATACAAAATATATATCAAACTAAGTTGGTATTCTATTTTCTACCCAAACTAACCCACTGTGGCTCAAGACAATACATAAAACTGTATTCATTAAAAACAATCTATTCTGTAATTTTGAAACATGCACACACCATGCTGTATGTTATTTTCCCCCACTCAGTTAATAAAGAGCATAGCATAAAACTGCTATTTTTTTGGCGGGGGGGGGGGAGAGGGGCTAAATAAAAGTATGACTATCACACTGAAAACAACTATTTTGAATCAACCATTTGAATATCCTTTTGACTCGAAAGTTCCACTGCAAAGGTGTATAACACGCTATGTGACAAACATGGTTGTTATGCACGTAAACATATTTTCCCCAATGATGAAAACTTTTACAAAAATGACCCTGATGAAGAACCATTAACAAGCAGGTCATCTGATAAATTTGGGGTCCACTTTTTCCCTGTCCCCGTTGCATCTGGCATTATTTATAATTCTGACGCACTCCTTAATGCTGTCATACTCCAAGAGGGATGATGAATAGCAAACTACCTACCCAACGACTAAAAACATGTTTGAAGTCGTTCTTAAAGAGGTTGTGGAATGCTCGAAGACATTTCCGTCATTTTTCGGGTATATGTAGCCTAAGGTGTGATGAAATAAAAACGACTATTGTTTCTGTCACAAAATGAGTACAAACGGTACTTTTGAGAGCTGTTTTTCAGGTCCTGTTTCGACCCGAACGTGTAATTTGTGTAAAAGTCGTCGTTGCGGGCAGCAAACAAAACACAGTAAATCGTGACGTTAAACATGACTCGTTTATGCTACTCTGCATCGGAAGTCCTGTTTATTACGTCACGATTTACTGTGTTTTGTTTGCTGCCCGCAACGACGACTTTCACACAAATTGCACGTTCGGGTCGAAACAGGCATGACAGGACTTGAAAAAGAGCTCTCAAAAGTACCTTTTGTACTCATTTTGTGACAGAAACAATAGTCGTTTTTATTTCATCACACCTTAGGCTACATATACCCGAAAAATGACGGAAATGTCTTTGAGCATTCCACAACCTCTTTAATGATTTTTAATGGCAAATTACAAAGTGCCAAGGTAACAGGGACAGGAAAAATGTCACATTTTGGACCCTAAATTCATAGAATAACCCACATACTTAATACAAAAAAATATGCAGACTCTGAAAAGAAAAAGAAAAATCACAACGCTCCAGAAAGCTGGTTAAAACACAGACTCTTTTCAAATCTGCCTCAACCCCCACCCCCCCCCCCCAAAAGAGGAATATCTTGAAATTATGCATCAAGCACCCATTTTGAATCAACAGGTCAGAGTGTATATTGCCTCCTTCCAAATATATCTCCAACATGGGCTCCTCGATGATGGTGAAAAACAAACCCATCTTTCTAGTTCCTAAAACCCGTGCATCGTGATGACGATTGGTGTTACTGAAGTAACACACAAGACCTTATAACAGCTCTACAGACAACCATCCAGTTCAACATGCCAAGATGCAAAAACCCATCACAGAGAGAAAGATACTTACTTGAAGAGTGAGGAGTAGAGATAGAAGATGTTGTCGAAGGAAGACGGGAGGATGGTTTATAGGAATAGGAAGAAGGGGAGGGGTAAGTGGAGGAGGGCGGGGAGGGGTAAGATGAGGGTAAGGGTCTGGACTCTCTACCAGAGGTAGAGGATTTGTACGAGGGTCGGTAAGAGTCCGTGGAAGGCTTGGTGTAGTCGGGGGAAGGGGTAGACTTATAGGAGGGTGTGGTGGGTTTGCGATAAGAGGAGGAGGGGGCGAGGCGTTCAGTGGGAGGCTTAGCATCGCCACCGGAGAGAAGACGTAGAATATCTTCTTCCTCAGCTAGATGAGAGAGGATTAGGAATTGTTCAGAAGGTGACCAGTGAAGAAGAGAACCAGTTCAGAAGGTGGTTGAGGATGTACCGTAAGTAAAGACTTCACTGAATGAAGACTTAGATTCGAGTTAAATTTTCGTACTTCATTAATCGCTTAATGAGCTGATGCCTATCTTCAGCTAGAAGTCTTATGTTAGGTCAAGACTATAGACAGTTTTTGTGGAAAAACACGTAGGTATAAAATTGAAAGGCTATGGCAAGATCTCTTTGCAGTCATAACATTGGGTAGTGTTTCTGGACAGTTGTTTTGTCGTTTAAGATTCACATGCTGATCAGACTGTACCCAAAAGGTATTTTTGCCCAAAAGTAAGTTTTGAGATGGTGTCGTGCTACGATACACGAACAAAACCAATACCTGTTTATGAGAGAAAATTTACAAAAGCCAATTATGATCACCCTTTCTCCAATCCTGACCCACACATGTTTTTTTTTCTGGGCAGGACACATGAAGATACACCAATAAACCATGCAATTTTGTTAATAACACATTTTTACCACATCACAACCTATTTTGACGTAAACCAGACCTGTTCCAAACACAAACAAAAAGTTCTGTCAACAACTACTTTTCCACTACAATACAGATATTTCAATCTCTTACATGTACATACCCATACTATTGAAGTTGAATTAATGGTGTAAGGATAATTTTTACAGAACACTGAATTTTACAGGAGCAACAACCCTAGTGTTTGTTCTGGTTGTTGCTATTTTACCATCGTAATTATCTGAATTCTAAGGATGTAAACAAAGCATTAGAGACAATGGGAGCTAGACCCAGATGGCCAAAAACACTAGTTAATTTGAGATGGCAAATCGAAACCTTAATTGCAACACTTCAATGCAGTTGAGATGTGTTCATTTTTCCTAGCGAATTCCTAGCATAAATACATCTACTTGCAAAAATATGAACAGGCCTTGTATGGTATGTGACTGTCTGAAAAGCTGTTTTCACAATTGAACACAGCTTTCAAATTTCATCTGTTTATCAAAGCATTTAAGCCGAATGCTTCTACTTACTAGGTTGACGGGCTGGGCTCGCGTCCTTCGGTTCTGATCTCGGAGGTCTTATTGATGGCTCCGCAGGCCGCGTGGTGTCTTCAGTACCTAGGAAAAGGGGCACGGGTATAGGCAAGAAGATTGGATGGAAGACACAAGGGCACACAGACAATGCATGGACAGGAGCATTTCAGAATTTGAAGAAAAAGAAATGAGAGAAGCAAGAATTGAGAAAGGAGGAAAGGAGGGAAAGAGTAAGACAGGTTAGAACGAAAGATAGTGATGAAAATTGAAATATAAGTTGACATAACAGAGAATTAGAAAATGGACAGAAATGCAAGACACAGCGGATCAGAGGGAATAGCAACAAGGACAAGCGAAAAAAAGAACAGACGAAACAGAGAGAAATAAACAAGAATTAGGTCTTGAAAACCCTAACAATAAAGTTTCTCACTGTCTGGAATGTTAAAATCAAGGTGCACTGACTGCAAAGTATTAGCAAGATAAACCAGAATATAAGGCACAGCTTGTGATGGATTAATGCCACTGCCAACCACAGTATGGCGGGGAGGGATATGGGGGGGGGGGTGTGCACTAGGGGAAATTGTGAATATCTTTGCAGAAAAGGTGTAGTGCTGTTTACGATAAATATTCATAATTTGTACCACTGCCTTCCATGTTGCATCCCAGCATTTGAAATGTACCCCTGATCTTCAGGCCAACATGCATCAGTATACTCCTTATGCTCCAAGAGATTAGCGGCCATGCAATATTATACAAATAATGACTGTTTCTGAGTGCAATGGTAAGAATAATTTCATGAGGTGAATGAAATCATTCTTTTCATTGCACAAATGTGAAACATTCATTATTTTTTTAAACAATGCCTGAATAAATCCTCATCATCTGATTGGTAACTTCAACTAGAAAATCGGTATAATCCATGCATGTACAGCATTAGAGCGCAACCAAAACTGTAAGTGTGCAATGGAAGTTCTATTTACCGTGGAATAGAACTTCTATTTTTGCGCTGCGGCTGGGCAGTGGGTTGGGACGAATAATTCAATGAAAGGTGATCAACGACCCTCCAATAAGATGATGGGGATTTATTCAGGCATTGTATAAAACCAAATATGCTTTCACGTGCAGGCACCGCTTTGCTCATTGGCAGTCAAATGCAATTGCAGCAAGGTGTCTTGCCTATGGACAGACGGTCCTGATCCACTTGGTATGGATTGGACTCTGAACCTGGATTTGAAGCCTTTATCAATCCCTTTACCCAAGTTTTTTTAATTGCAAGAAGGTAATCACTTTTTAATATGATGTCAATTAGTAACTTTGTGTTCTTAAACAAGACACTTTTCTGTAACTGCTGTCCTCATCCTAGAACCGTAAAAAGGGACAAGGGTCACATAATGCACATAATTCGTGGTTTATGGCCCCAAATTAAATGTTGCCCATTCACCTTTTCATCGTACCCGGTAAGTGACATTTTCAACATAACCAAGGAACACGACTGGTAGTTCTATATCTACCATTAAGTCTGAATGCGACATTTTCAAATGAGCACATTTTTACAACTCCGCATGGTGTAGTTCTTTGATAATTTTGTTGGGATGTCCGAACTAGTTTGGGCATCATGAAGCCAATTTGGTTCATACTTGACAAATATTTTTATTGTTATTATTAAATACGTGTACATAAGGCTGCTATGGCCAGCCATAGGTCCCACAAATGAAAAATGCCACATCGATGACCAAAATCGTCAGGGAAATGATGCTTTATTTCTTTACACCTACATCTTTCCATTTTCTAATGAACTGCCAGCCTACATGAAAATGTATTTTTTTTTCTGATTTAAATGAATGCATTGACAGGCATCATGAACAAGGCCAGAAACAGGCAGTCGATCGTTCCACTACATCTTTTTAAGGTTGTTTTCAATTCATGCAGCCAGACCCGAGACTTAATCGCATGAGCAAAATGAATCAGTAAGATTTGCCTAGTGCAGTGTGCAAGCAATAGTGCAACCAATTACGGAGGGACCTTGGACCACATGATTTACTCACTGGCTGCTGGTTGGTCAGATTTGACCTCGCCAAACACATCGTCGTCCAATGACAAGTCATAGACTTTTTTTATGGGGAAAAAAAGGGGGGAGTGGGGAGTTGGGTGGAAAATGACAAAAATACAAACAGTTGAATAACAATTACAATACTTGAATTAAAAACGTGCATGTGGATAATCACAACAAGCACATGCATATTTCGTTGCAGTGCATAAAGCCCGGTTCATACTTCACGCGAAAGCAAGTGCAAAGCGAAATTCAGGTCGTCAACAATGGTGGACGCGCTTCGAACGTATTGTTGACGTCACAAATTTCGCTTCGCTTTCTTTTTCGCGTGAAGTATGAACCGGGCTTTAGTGTGTGAAAGATTGTTTGAAGGTGCACTTCAAATTTGAAGAGCAACAATGATCTTGTCTGATTCAGGAATAAAATCAAGATATGTTAATTCCAGGCATTCAAAAATTCATATCTCTGATAAACAGGCATGGATTATGTGTTCTGCTGGGTTTTTTTTTCAAAAGAACATGATTCACACATTCTATTATGGCAACAGCAATAACGTAATGTCAGCTGTGATCTGAAAACAAAATGGTGTCCAGGAACAATTAATGCCAAACTACATGTTCCTGCATGTGCATGACATGTGCATGACAAGCATGATATTCTGTGCCAGGACAGACACGTTATAGAGGAATGCTTGTCCTCAAAGAGATTTTTACGGACTCATTGTTTATGGTCCATGGACCTTATTCATGAGGAAGCCATTTTGATTGTGTACCCTGAATGCATGTTATAGGCCTAAATTGTGAACAGTTGAATGAGATGGTGCCAGACTATTTATGCATTCTAGCCTCACTTTCTTTTCAAATGTGGCTTAAAACATTAGTATGTTTAATCACAAATTTCAAATTATTCATCAGAGCAGACTGGTATTAATTTGTAATATGTAATTGCTTTCATTTCTCTTCTTAAGTTCCAAAAATGAAGTTTTTGCCTCGCTTTCAATTTAATATGGCCGACTCGTGAATGAAGCCAATCTGGGTGCTTGGTTAGCCCTTTTTTCAGCATACATGTATTTCAACTTGTTATCCATAACCATGTGAAAATATTAGGCCGCGTTCAACTTACTTTGCTAGGCCACCTCACGTGCCTATGGGATTTACTGAACCCACTTCCTGTAAATGTGAGTGTAGCCATGTCTGAATCACATGGCTACGGCTGGAATTACATGCCCACCTATGGAAGCCACTGGCTAGTGGCTGCAGTCCCTTCCCATAGACTTGTGTGTTAATGCCAGCCGTAGCCATGTGATTCCGTCACAGCCTTACTACTGGCCATAGCCTCTAATTCAGACACAGCCCAAGTTTTGCAAAATAAAGTTGACGAGTGCTTGTGGCATTGGCAAAAATGCAACTTGCATGGAATCTTCTGTAGCTTTGCCGCATGTGCTTTGTACATGTACATGTGCTTGTCATAAAATTGCATCCAAACTATTCAAATATTTTCTACACTGCAATCCACATGCACAGGCTTGTAAACAAAAATATCCATCAAGTCTTCAAGAAGTTTACATCTCACACAATAGTATCAATCAACTTTGATTTCAAAGGCTTCCAATGATTAGTACATGTATACTGCTACTTAAAAATGGATCATCTGTGTACACATGTAAATGTAATGTCTTTGTGGCATGCGTGTCTAGGGAAAAGCTTCCAGACCTGTAATATGAATGAGGTTATCCCTGTAAAACAAATCAGTTAATCATGGCTATTAAAAACTAGAAACTGAATGAGATGACACTCCATGCTTCCAAACCACGCGTTGATCACTCCATGCCGACAGAAGCAGACATGGCAGAGCCAGGAAACCAAAGTGTGGGTGCCTATCCTTCATTGGCAACACCCCCAGAAGAAAAAAGATTTTTAAGATGCAGTTTCTGCGATTGACAAGTTTTTGCCAATATGCAAATTCATGGCTTTACGCCGTTAAAACCTGTACATCATTTGCATCAGTGAATCTGGGCTGCTCAATCTGTAAGACTGAATGGGACCACTCCTTTTATAATTACCCACGAGTAAATCTTTCGAATATTTTAATTTTCCACAAGCATCAGATTGCAGGACAGTAAATAGGCCCAAAATTGGGCAGCAAAATCACAATTTGTGTGCTGTCACTATTACTGCTTGCGGGGGGACTTTTTGGTGGCCAGGAGGCCTTGCATTTGTGGGTTTGATGCAATGAAAGAACCAAGCTCTAAACTGTAACTTTGAGCTTGTATTACTGACAAAGTTGGATGAAATTACAATTGAGGAGTTGCTCTATTGGAGGGACCATTTTTGCAATGAGCTTCAGGACTCTTGCTAAGGGCCCTGTCACACTTCTGCGTATCCTAATTCCTTATGAGTTGCGCATTGACATTTTTTTCATACGCAGTCGTACGCACAATACGCACCTCATATGCATCTCTATCGTTTTGTGTAGGTTTTATGTACGCAGATATACGCATGGTACGGCCCAGTATGCAGGATAGTTTTGGGCATGCACAAAACTACGCTGCGTACGCTGTTACGCAGGTCATAAGTTATAAATACGCAGCGCATCGGTCCCGCATCGGTCGAGTGCATTACGAGTACGCTATGCAGGCACGGATCCAGGATTTCTTTCGACGGGGGGCACACCTTTAGAGCATTTGCTCTAAGGACTAATGTAGTTAGCGCGAAGCCCTTACGGCGTGGGGTCCGGAGCCCGCTTAAGGGCCCCGGGAAATTTTGTATCATAGATGCTCCGTGGTGCATGCTGAGGCGATTCCTGGCCCCTTTCCTCCTGAATTATCAGCACTGCATACTGACCTATTCGCAGCCCGAAAAATAATGCTGTGCACTGCATACAGAACTCATACGCATCTCATACGCAATGGATGCGCTGAATTCGTTACTTGTACGCTAGATGTGCGTCGCACATAAGTCAAAGTGATCAAAACATTTCGACGTTAATGGAGCGTATGGCTGCGTATTGAAAATTTTTGATAAGGAACTCATAAGGAATTAGGATACGCAAAGGTGTGACAGGGGCTTTAGGTTATCAACCATCATCTTTGAAGGGAAACATCATTAAAAAGTTGTTGCTTTCATTTGATGTTTCTTGAGAATTCCTCCTCAATCTTTTTACTTGAAGGTATCATTATTGGTGCTAACGGTATGGCGACATACTGGCCTGCACCCCTCTGGCCAACCCTTTAAGTCTCATACCGAGATTGTTTAAGTCTAGGATTCACACAATCGGACCCTTTAACCAGTGTTTTCTGTGCATATGTGTACTCAAAGTACAGATGTGTGCTCAAAGCCTAACTGTTAAGTATATTGTACTGAAAGGATTACATGAAAGTTGATGTCCCCCCCCCCCACTTCCAACACTGGTTCCTGGCTCCACCCCTGCTTGACAGCATGACTCACTGCCAGTTCTCCTGGTTTCTGGCTGCTTGGCGACAGGGCTGGCTGTGGGCTCCGAGCTTGACTGCGAGGATTGTCTTGGCTTGTCAACTGGACAAGTTAAGAAAAATGTATCATCACTGATCGTTTGTGCATAGACCCTTTCCACTTTCCATCTTTGAGGTGTACATTTCTGTTCCATCGGATACGCAAAAGTACCGGTAGATATCGTTGTGTGTTCGTTGTTACTGATTTGTAATTATAACAAAAGTACCTAAAAGATGGCTGCTGAAAAGCAAAGGATCTATTGGGTCACTCTGATCAGAAGGAAAAATCAATTTATGACTAATTACAATGTAAAAGCAAGCTGCTGAGTGTAGTACAAGCAATGTGCCAATTCATAAAAATAAAAAATAAAAAACTCCGCATGCTCTTCAAAGGAGAAAAAAGGAAATTGGTAACAAAATACATGTATTAACATCTCATCTAGCTATTGACAACTGATGAGACTGAAAATTATATTAGTTTGGATGGCAAAGGAAGAAAACAAGAAAGTAATCCATTTAAAATGCATTTTCATTCTTCACAAGGGAACTTTGAAGGGTGGCAGAAACCATTCGCATAAAACACTGTGGAACATCCTGAAATTTCCTCACTGAGAACATTCAGGGGAAGTTTGAACCTGACCGTGAAAGTCAAAGTGAAACTCCATATGAATTTCTATGGGCTTGACCCTAACCACCCCATTTAGTCAAGAATTTTATGAGGAAGGAAGGTATAGCCAAGCCACTGTAACTTTACATGGGATTTGATGTTATTTGAAAGATTTCAGTACAAAGAGTGTGCCATTCGATTCTTGCACAGCGGTGGATTTTGGCAGATTCAGGAATGTTCCCAGCTGCTGTGGTAGTTTTACTTGATCTGTTGATTTGCACACAGGAAGGGTCATGATCACACAGTGGGTGCAAGCGGGTATGTGATATAAATTAACAATTCAAAATAGAGTGTGTTTAGGAAGGAAAACGGGTACAACTGGGTTCATATGATGAATTAGTAAGAATGACCTTCAACTTGACTGATGGTAGGAAAGACAAGTGTTTAGATAACCATTGTCTCAAGTTTGGCCATCCAGTTTATTTTCAAAGTATTTCCAAACTTTGAGAATTTCCAATTGTTATTTTCATTTCTGGAAATCTGACTTTCACTGATGCAGCCTTGGCGTGGGTTTTGGTCTTGTGAACATGGGTCCGTGATTCATGTGAAATAGTAAATTCAATGAAAGATTCAATAAGTTGGGTCACAAATGATGTGAGCGTTAGATGACATTAAAGATTTTTAGAAGCAACACTTGGCTGTGGGGAATTATGGAGGAAAAAAATGGGGGAAATATACACTCAGGAAGTTCATGCAGAACACTGCACACCTTAATCGAGTTTAACAAATTCCTCCACATAAAGTCTAACACAGGATAGAACAATGTTTGATTTTTGTTCTGATAAAAAAATGCATTAAGTTTACTCCTTGAAATAAAAAGAAGACATTCATGACTAAGAAGCCAACTTATGTACATGTAAACAAAAATGAGGACAAGCCCCCAAACCAATGTTTGGCATGTTTAATATACCAAAAAATGGGG